TGAAAGAAGGTGCAGGAGATAATTTTAGAAATCCTGCACTTGACTGAACGCATCTAAAAACAAGCACCCACAAAGCTCGTGAATATTTTAAATTAATCTTCCCTAAGCTCGTTTTTCCGAGGCAAATTACCGTGACGATCTTAATTAGTCTGGAAAAAGAGTTGGAGGGGTTGTTGTTAATGATTAAATGCGAATGTCTGTTTTAGCATCTTTGTCATTTTAAAACATCCACAAAGATTATGTTACCATCGTCGTCGAGTTGACGTTTGCGGTAATTCTCGACTCGTGTATTATTTGCAATCGGTTGTCGAGATGCCTGTACTCGTTTTACCTTATTTAGCATCGGTGAATGCACTTTTGCAGCAATCGCCTTTGGATTTGTACTGTTAATTTTTCATTTAAGGCATTCATAAATGTTGGAAAATAAAAAAGGCCGGCTACGTGATCGGTTTTGATGCCTCCTTTCTTTTGATGGCTGCTGCTGGTTTATTGGCTTTCGGATTGCATTCCATGCATTAACAACGATTTGAGAAATGACTTACGATTGAGGATTTCGATAAGGAAGCATTGTAAATTAATAGTTGCGTGGTATAATAGTGATATATTCAACTAACATGTCGCATGTTTGAGTTATGGGTCTCTGTAACTATGAATTCACCGAACTCGTAGTTTCAGATGAAGAGGCCAAGCTTTTCGTGCGAATCGCATAAATTCTTAGAAATTTTTACTTTTATTACCCATTTTTAAAACGTTCCCAATTTGGCATCAATTGTGTACCCAGTGACAGCCGATAATAGCATTCACTTATACTCGCACTTGATAAATAGAAGAGTCCTTTCTAGGACATATGCTGCGAAATAAATTCACAGATTTCGCAATCCATGCAATACATCGGAGACATTGGAAATGATAATCATGTAACGCCATACTTAAAACCACTCGGATCACTTGCTCCACTCGCTTGCAAGCTCGCTCGTGTCGCAAACATAACCCTTGAATAATAAGCGTCGTAACAAGCTCGTAATAGTATCATAGAAAATGTGCAAGAATTTTAGATTGGAATTAACAGAACAATCCAAACGTATCGACAGTATCCTTACTTTTCCTTAACCTACCGATCACGGCCGAATACGGTACAATCGTCACTTGATGCGACATCGGCCTTGAACGAAACTCGCAACTTGTATCCATATACGAAACCATAAACATTTCTAATGTTACAAATTTCAAACGGAGCCATCTAACTTTCTTGTCAAATAGACGTTTCGCGCCACTTTCCAATCTCGGTAACAGTCGCCTCAAAATTGGGTGGTAAGAATGGGACTCCTACGTTATGTTATACTATGGTGATTGTTTATGTGTTGGGACGTGAGACAATTGGGAAGGGAATTGAATAACATTAAGAAGTTTGTGCCTAAGGAACGATAATAAAATTGAAATATATTATGCACGACAAGCCAGGAAAAAAAAACAACAAGGAAAAAATGCCTGGCGTAACACACCGATACAAGAAATAAATTTAAAAAAATGCAAAATAGAGATAGACAAATCGCACAACAAAAATCATCTAATCGAGTCAAATGCAGTTAAATAATATAATAAAACGAGATAGAAATCAGAAAATAACATACTAATCAAAACCATAAAAATAGTATATCTCTGCTCCGGCATCGTCTAGCATGTAACATTAAAAAGTGCAGGTGAAGCAAATAGAAGAAACGTTAACTAGAGGGCTCCCTTCTTGTATTGCTCAACATTGTCCGGCAGCGGGAACGAGATGAGAAAGGAACAGATCGGAACTGTATTAGGTGCTTTCTCCACGGTATAAACGGTTAATAGAATCATACAGGGCAACAAGACACTGGATACTCTCTCCCACGAATACATAAATAAATACTATAAAGGCGTAACAACCTCTACATCATAACATAGGGATGTTCGTACTAATAATTTTGTTGTTACTTTCTTTCACAAAAAATGTGTGCCAATATAACGAAATTTTAAATAAACTTCCAGGAGAATGGACTTTTTTCTTCTCTATATGATTGACAAATTAAAAAATCTTTATTGGTTAAAATTTCCACTATTGTTCGTATGTACGGTAATAGTTCCTAAACCATAAATTATCCTTTATGAGGGAATGTCACAAAAACCTTTAATGCGCGTTTTAAAACTGCGCAGTTGTTCGTATTTTTGCTACTGTAGGCGCACGCAATTTCTCTAACATTTACACATGGCCGACTTAACTTAGCTGACCCGACACAAATTCAAAGAACACAAAAAAATCCACCGTGCGATGAATTCCAGGTAAAATAATAATAAATCTCACAACATAAAAAAATAACACCCCACTGTTATCCACGGGTGACCGTCTTACCGCCCTCTCCCAAAAACCTAATTTGTACTACTTTACTTTTCCGATTCCCGACCGTTCTGGGAGGTGCAACCTTTTCCACTGATTTTTGTCCAATCAGAGTCCTTGACATCAATAGCTCAACTCTGCGTGAAGTGGACTACCGCTGAATCAGCAATTCAAATGCTACTTAGCAAGATTGATAACGATGGATGCTATATCTAGCTAATTTCGTCCTGCCCCGCGACTTCCCGGTACCTTAAGTTTTCACACGCATTTGAAAGTTAGGGACATATTTACGAACCACTCGAACACATGCAACAGTTTAGAAAAATGTGAATCAAATAAAATCCGTTAACGGGGCCCCATTACAAAGTTCCCGCGGAATAGCCAAACTATCGGATATTTTTTTTTCCTGTTTTATAATTTTAAGACGTTTTCAATTTTACATTTTAAGCTTTTAACTACGTTTCGGGCAACAATCTGCACCCTCGGGATTGAAACACACACTTTTTAGTCCCTTGGTATGTATAATATACTGTTCTATGTCAAAAGAGCAATATTTTGGATTGGGGATTGAAACTTCAAGGAGTGGTATTGACGTGTCTCCGTTCTGATAGGCATTTTTAAGACCGGCCTCTTCTTTGTTTCAGAACCTTCTCAAAGCTGTAGAAGGAGTTGGAAACCTTTGGCGTTATTTCTGTAAGGAAAAAAAACCTAAATAGGGTTTTGAATATTTTGGGTCCTATCCAGGATTATACAAGTCTATCAAAATCTATAAGTGACCTGGAAAACTGGTAAAAAAAAGTAGCGCGATAAGATGCGCTACAAATGCGCCTTATCAGGCGTTTAAAAGTAAACTTAAAACTATATAAAAATTTGCTGTGACTATCATAGACACCCGGGCGATTCTGCCCTTTTATGTGTAAGAATTATGTACCAAATTGGGTTCCAATCGGTTCAGCCGTTTAGCCGGAAATGAGAGTACAAACAAACAAAGCGACAGACCGATCGACATCATCTAGATTTTGATTCGGATTTCCGTAAAAAAAGTGGGGGGGGGGGGGGATTTTTAACTAATGCGGGCGGTAAAAATCCGAAAATCGTTCGTGTGATTTTTAGACTTCTTGGCGTGTGTCGAAGCTAACACACCCCCGACATCAGAAAAAATATGGGACCGGTGTCAATAATCAAGTTTTTTAAGAGCGCACTTAACGGGTGTAATCTCGACTTACTCAGAGGTTGTTATCTGTAACCCATTCAACTAATTACGGTAACTTATCCAAATAGTCGGAATTAAATCTCCAAATTTGGCAGTCCAGCAATACCCTTTTGCTCCTTGGAATGTGAGGTCAAGCGCAAGCTATTATCACGTTGATATTTTCCTTAAACTGCACAAGCTCGCCGAGTTCAATCCTGGATTTCCATTAGAAAACTAAAATCGATTAATCGGTCATTCACGGACATAAAACTTAATAAGACTGATTCTCTCTCTTCTTCTCTGGCAAGAGACTTTTCGGCGGCTGTAAAAACAATTTAAATATAACTACAGGAATGGTTGCAAAACGGATAAATTTACAAGAAAACTTGCGTGTGTTATCGACGGTAAGACAAACGATTAAACAAAATGAAAACGCAAAGTTCACTCCTCGTCTCCTAGTGCAAATAAATAAATTCAGAAACTATTTCTTAGTAACGAAGCGCCCAACTTAAAACGCTTCTAGATACCGGGTGTTCAGCAAAGGTGGTCGACTCCAGAAATATACTGTGTGGCCATAACGTCAAGTATCATATGAATTTGAAGCTTGAAGGCGGAAAAGTAGTAACTTTTTTACAAAATAAGTGCTTTCCAGCACCTTCTAGGGCTTCTCGTGCTATTTCTAAAGCAAAAAAGCAAACCTTGAAATCGTTAGTAAGCGCCTGAAAGGCTTCGCGAAGGCCCTAGTTCCGAAAAGTCGCCGACGGATCTCGAAAGGCCCTTCCTAAAACACTTAAACGGTTTCCAAACGTTCTCTGAAAGTTCTTTAAAGAAATATTTAAAGTGCAGGTAGTCTTGAAGCCTCCGGGTAAAACCATTGTACTGTCGTGAAGTTGGCGATAGCATCACCATCTCTCAAATTGTTATCGATATCTGCGTGTGAAGCTATAGTAATAACATTCCAGCAATGGATTTCAACCTCTTTAAATGAATTTTGATTTTGATAGACCGCCAACATAAGGAAATTGAATACGAAACAATTCTTTGATTAAATTCCTGTTAATTAACCCACGCAAAGCTGTAAGGAAGTAGGGGGATTAACCCACGAAGCCCAAATTCTTTTCAAGTGTTACTTGATTAGTAATCTATGAATTTTCCGGACTGTGTGGCGCAGTGGCATGGAATCCGACTGCGGCACTAGGGTCTCTCCGACTCCGAGTTCGGGAATTGATATTTGTAAAAGTGTAGTGGGGTGGGTTGTTACACCAGGTTTTGACTGAAACCCCGTCCACTTAAAAATAAAGACTCAAATTTTATTTTTTTAATGGAAACCCTACTTGCAAACCTTTCTAGAAACGGAACTCTGCTTCAAAATGATCTTAAAAACCATTAAACATTTTTAGAAACTACACAGTAGTTGTATAGTAATAACTTATATTTTTGTTTCAGATGATCACTCAGATTACGGCAGTACTGTTAGCAGCAGTACGGGAAAATCACCTGGTCCCATCTACCCACCCCCCACATTCACCTTCCCCGGCCAACCACCTTCCGGTGGCGTTCTTACACACAAGGCGGCAGTCTACTACCATCACCAGCTTAGTCTACAGGAAGACCAAGGCATCGATATGACCCAAGTAAGCCTCTCACTCGTTCCAATGTACGTCACTTACAGCTATCGTTACAGTCACCCGGTCGTGACAGCCCCGGATCCTCGAGTGGAAGCGCAGGCTCAGGCTCACGACATAGCACGGCATCTTTAGACAGCGGCCGAGCCTCCTATCATCCGCTTAGTAACGCAGGACGAAGCACGATTGGCTCCTCAAACAGTCCGAGATGTTCCCTCAGCTCGTGTTCCATCGGTTCAGATCAGGGCAGAGTAGAAAGGATGATTCATCAAGGCGTACCGGTGAGGCTGCTAGAATGAGTAACCTGTCTTTTTACTCACACGCCGTTTCAGGATCAAGAAATTATACACGCGTGGCTCGTTGATCTTCAATTTGAAGAATATTTCACCTTATTTTTATCGGCCGGCTACGACTTGCCAACCATTGGGAGAATGACGCCAGAAGACTTGACGGCAATTGGAATAACAAAACCACACCATCGGAAGAGGTTAAAAGCGGAAATAGCGCAGCTAAACTTACCGGATAACTTACCCGATTACATACCGGTAAGTCGGTCTCATTCCCAGTTTTGTTGTTTACCATTAAGTGATCGATAGGGTTCGTTAGAGGAGTGGCTGCGACTTCTGCGGCTGGAGGAGTATCTACCGGCTCTACTAGCGCAAGGTGCTTTTTTTTGAAAATTATTAAGTGGTCGTGTACACGATTTTGGTTACAGGTTACAATACTGTAGATGATGTAACGCAGTTAACGTGGGAGGATTTAGAGGATATTGGGATTGTAAAGCTGGGTCATCAAAAGAAAATTATGTTAGCAATAAAGAGAGTGAAGGATATCAGAGCGGGGAAACGCTTCAACAGTATAGATTACAATAGAATTCACATGCAGCAGGTATGAATCGAATCGAGTAAGCCACATTTTGCCATATTGATTACATAACGTTTTTTTTTTACTTGCGGTGTTACCAAGTGAAGTTCATGCATGCATTTTCCTCAGTCTTAATTTAGATATTTCACTACCAATCTACTTTTTGTGTCAATTATTCACATTATTGCACTGATGCGGTGCACATGTGAAATATCTGTTGTCGATTTATCACAATTTAGCGTGCTATGAGCTATCTCGCTTATGCTGCATGTTTGTGTAAGGACGTGATGGTGCACGCACCCCTGGGCCCGCCCTCGCCTGGCGTTCCCGCTGTTCACACCACGTTCCGATCCTTCCATCAGCCCTGGGAGCTCGACCAGACACGCCAACTCGCCGCCGGTTCACACTACGTGCAGCCCATGTTTTGCACTGATATTGTTCCTATAAAGGTAGAAATCCACTTCTTAGACCTTACAGCATATGTTGCATGTGATTGCATTAATTGTTTTCCAAGCAAACTTTAAAGTCAATGAAATGATGATTCAAGTCGGAGATCTTGCAATTTTAAAAAATGATCATCGAAGTTCACATATCACGTGATCGTCTTGAGAACGCGCCATTATCCCAAATTATTATACCAACTACAACCGAAAATAAACTCCTTTCAGCGTTAGTCTGTTAGCATTCATGGAGCTAAAAAACATAATTACCCTCTTACTCTTTGCTCATGGAAAATTAATCGAATAACGACAGTTTGCACTATCAAATTCAAGCAGAGGTTTAGATTAAGTACAGCTTAAAATTCGTAACACTTGAACTACCCTAAAATTTAGGCAGGGAATCTGAATTTTGGAATTGTGTGCGTTATTCCAAAATGAAATTTAAAATATCGAGTCTTAAAAAAATGTTGATTTTTGGTAGAACACCCATTACAATAAAAAAAATTGTTAATAAACAAAAAGTCTATGCACTATAATCAAAAAGGATCTCTGGCCTACTCTACCATACAACTATAGGTACTACAATATACCATTACATTATAACGAATTACATGACACTGTAGCTTAACCACAATTACACTACATCACTGTGTGTAGGTGTAAGGTGAAAATGTACTGCAATATCTGGGCAGAAATTGATACTTTGTTACAATTATCCTCTTCAAGGAACATTATCGGAATGTGATCATATACAATGAGAAAGATAAGTATCCTCTACCCTTAAGCTCGTTGGTACTTGATCAGGTCCTACAATAATGCCCTACCACAGTACTATATAAGCTCGGCTTACTCAGTTTTCAAAAGTGCATAGAAGTCTCCAGAAGGCTTCTGAAGTCTGAGTCTGAGTATCAGTAAGGTAAAACCTTGAATATTATTTTCTCCTTAAGTATATTCTTCCTAGCGCTTCCAATCAAAACTCTTTCCAGAGCTCTCTGGTCCTTTCCGTGGATATGAAGGCAACAAAGCTCTGAGAAGGCTCAAGAAAGCCTCTAAGTAGTCCATAAGGTTCTGGGAACTACATGGAGTAAAGAGTCATTCGTGCTGTGGAAAATCTGATTGCTATGAAAAGCCTTTTAAATGCTCTGAAAAAGCGCGTGGGAATCATCCCGGAAAACTTTCCACACAGTCTTATAAACGCTTTCTAACGATAGAAAGAGGGTGAAGGTCTAAAAGTTTTTAGAGGGCAATAGAAATGGCCTGTAAAGTCGCCACAAAGCCTTCGATCTCTAGGGAAAATCTTAGATTGCCATGAAAAATTCGGGAATGAACTGGAATGCTCTGAGATGCATCCCAGGAAGCATTTCAAGACGCTTATTGCTCTGGAAAAGACGTAAGTGTTTAATTGCACTGGAAAGTCTTAAAATACCGTTGATGCCTTCTAGAGTCGTTCAAATATTTTCCGATAATTTCTACTGCCCTTCCAGAACATTCTAGCGTCTGTCAAGAGCATTCTAGGCTATCGCTTTCAAGATCTTTTCCAAACGTACAGGGTGAGTCAACGATTGCGCGGAGTAACTTAATGTCTTGAAGATGAGATTTTTCGATAGAGTGCTTTTGTATTATGATATGGTTGAATATTCCCCACATTTTAAAAATATTTGGAATTATACAGGGTGCGCCCAAAAAGTAGGGCGCCCAAATGGTACATTTTTTTAAATATAACCCCCTGTATTTGAATGCATTTTTGAATTCTACGTGTAATTGTACGTCTTTTTTATAATAATAATAATAATAGCACAGTTAAAAAACACAAAACTCCTTCTTCACAGAAACACACCACGTTATCACAACCCACTCGTATTCAACCCAAACGCAAAGCCAAAGAAACACTTACACAATAAACTCCATTTAATAAAATTACAGGAATTATTATAATGATTTTTTGTTTGTTTTGTTTTCCTCTTGGAGGATAAAGGTTTATGATTAGAAGAAGGAGGACGATCACCTGATTTGTAATCTTTGATGGCTATGGTATGCTTGCCTATATATAAAGAATGAAAAATTGTTGGTTACAGATTAGAACTGGAAGGGGAAAATCACTGGAATCCCTAGAAGATCCCAACGAGCGTACGCATCACACGTTCAGTGCAGATAACACTCAAATATTTTATTATCAGCAGTCGGTGGGATGGAGACCGAGATCGTACGACGACGGCGATATTACGCCGACGAACGATTCTGGTCTGCTGTACGAAGGCGGTGGCACTCTTCCAAGGCCCAGAGGCGTAATTCGACCTCGGCCCATCGCAAAAATCACCGCGAAAGCGCGCGAAACATTCCCAGACTTTGAAAAACCTCAGTTCAATCCGGAAAAATACATGCCGCCACAGTACAAAACGCTACCGCGTGACTTAATAGACACAAGTAAATACCACATACAGTACGGTACGCCCATAATGGGCAAAAAGCTTCCGCCGAGCCCGCCCAAACGTCAAATCGACTCGAGCGACAGCTCGGAACAGACGACGACCGTCGAAATCCATCACGTTCAAACGTCTAGCCCTCTTCCGCTTCCCGCCTACCCCAGCTCAGATAGTTTGAGTATATCGTTAGATAGTCAAGGAGAACTTCCGTTACCGCCGCCGCCCGCGCCCGGTACGCCGCCCGGTGCTTGCATATCCAAACTAAATTCGTCTAGATCGTGGAGTTCGGAGGAACAGGAACTAATCAACACGTTGGCGTTGCAACATCGAAATGGTTCGGATGCTAGTTTTAAGGTGAGTGCCTTGTATTGATCTGTCTAATTCTTTATTAAGGGTTGATTGTAATTTTTAAATTATATTCATTTTTGATTTATTATAATGTCTCTCAATAATGGTACATAGCAGCATGTTTGAAAAATTCTTTTTTTTTCATGTTCCACTTCTCAAAGATTTAAGAGTATTATAAAAACCTCCCGACGCACAAACTCTCAGGTTAATCAAAAATTGCAAAAGAGCGAAACAGATTTTGTTTGTTTCATCGGAATGTTTTTTTTCATTCTGGAATCATCGGAATGTATTTTCATTCCGTAATATTTTTTTTGTTTTTGTTTCATCGGAATATTTTTTTTCATTCTAGGATCAGCGGAATGTTTTTCCCATTGTGGAATCATCGGAATGATTTTTTCATTCCAGAATCTTTCGAATGTTTTTTTAAATTCCGGAATTATCGGAGTGTTTTTTTAATAACTCCGGAATCATCATGAGGGTTTTTTCATTGGAATGATTTTTGCGGAATCATTGGAATGTTTTTTAAAATCATCCCGGAATACTTTTTTTTGAAATGGGATCATTATTTTTGAAAAATTAAAGAAAGATTTAAAATAAAATATTGTTCAAGGAAGATTCGAAAAAAATTGACATTTTTTTGGAACTATTAATCGGAATGGGTGGGATCTTTGTCCTCTGCTCTTTTTTGTTGTTAAGTTCAAGAGAAGTATGGAATTATGCTGACTTTATCGATCTTTGTTCCCTGCTCTTTTGTTTCTAGGGAAAGAAAAAAAATTCCCCTTATGTGATGGTTTTGTCCGTCTGTCTGTCCATCTGTTCCTCGCGTAACTAGAGAACGGAAAGAGATAGCGATGTCAAACTTTCGCGAATCGATTTCTACGAGTACAAAGATCAGTGCTATTGAATATGAGCCGGATTAAAAGTCTGGTTTCCGAATGCGAGCTGAGTGGCAAAAATTTCTCCTATTGAAAATCTTGTTTTTTGTTAAGTTGCTAAACAGAACAGGTTCAAAAGTAGTATGGGACCTCCATCCTCAACACATACACCGGTAAACAGAACAATTTTAGGAGTAATATGGGTCGCTATTGGCTTTGTTTTTTAAAATTTAATTTACTTATTTTTTTATCATTCCATAATTTCATTGGAATGCTACCATTATTTTTTTTGCAATGGAACCTGCCTTTTTTGTTATTGTTTTAAAATGGGACCTGTCCTTTTTTTTTTAATTACCTGTGCACTTTTTTGGTATCTTTTTAAGTGGGATCTGCCCCTTTTTTGTTATTTGCTTGGTAATACAAAGTTAATGATCAACGCTTCTTACAATTTTTCATTAGCATTCTTGTGGCGTGAAGGCACGACAAAGTTTGACAAACACCCTGTATAATTATATAATGTAATTGTACATGTGGAATTATCTGCTTACTTTTTGTACCATATGATCAGTATAGATACCGTTTACATCATATTCTATATTTTCGGTAAGTACAGTACTTTTCCTGTACATAGATGTCGTACGTACATTGTACCTCCGCGGTACAAAAAGGTACAGCCTATGGACGTATACAGTATGTACCTGTGCCAAGTTTAAGATTAAAAGTTTGACACATATTGTGCCTTTTTTTTTGTAAATATCCCAAAAAGCTGGTTCAGTGAGGGGGAGGGGGAGGTGCAAATTTTAGTTAAGACATAATTTTCTACCAGGTGATTTTTGTTTTAAGCAATGGTGTCAAGTTCCTACTGTATATTTATGTTTGGAATTTTTTCCAGTCAAGTTCAAGCACGGAATCAGACTCGTTGCCTTTCGCCAATGAAAACGCGGGTACAATAAAGACGAGGACGGGCGGACGACCGGGCGACTACTCGCCCGCGAAACCCAGGGTCGGCCTGCCACCGCAGTCTTCGCCGGCGCCGAGTAGGCAAGTCAAAGCGCAGCGATCGGAACCGGCGGATGTGCTTAACGATATCGGTAATATGCTTGCGAATTTAACAGACGAATTAGACGCGATGTTAGAAGAAGAAAAAAGACTCGAGCAACAGTAACTGCGGTGTTTAAAGACTGATATCGGTAGTAGTTCGTATACTTATATCGTTTTCGTCAAATTTATGTTTTAGTTAATATGTTTGTATTTTTTATACAAACCTTGTTCATAAATATTTTATAATAGTTCTAGTTAGCTTTACTAGTGTAAAATTAGAAAAAAAACATCGTTTTATATTAAAGTTTATTGTGGGATTTATTCATTTGTTATATATTTGCGATTTTTTATACAAGGATAATCAAAAGTTTTATTTTATTTTGCGACAATATTGTCAGCGGAATACACAACAAATTGCATATAATAACAAGCTATACCGTCTCAACTAGCGAAATATTCCTATTAGATAGAAATTTTCTACGTTTGTGTATGGTGCCCATTTAAAGGTAAATAAATAGAGCATTTCTTTGGAGGGAACAGAAATTCATTAGCATCTTCATTTACATAATCAAATCAGGAAAGGCGACATGTTTGTTTATAACAATTACGAAATTGTATATAGGTATTAATATGAATGAATTGTAGTGTAAAAATCTTAATTATTTGTTATGAGTAAACATGTCTCAACTTTTAGGCATATACTATATAAATTTTATGTTAGAAGATCAATTTACAAGCTACAACAAGTAATAGTTTGGTGTTATCTAAATTAAACAGTGAACAATGTTTATTCTAAGTGTTTCTTTTTGTAAGAAAGTAATGTTTGAAAGACTGGTAAGGGGACTAAATGCTACAGGAGCTTACACATCGAAGTTTTTATAATAAATATTTTTTTACACATCAGAAGTGGGATGAAAATTTAGTTTCTGCTTTAATAAATTTAAATTGGTTTCACCATACATAGACATTAAATTTGATTGTCTTACTAATTTTCATTAGCATTAGATTTCGCAAAATGCGATTGGTTGTTAGCTCCTGTCGCAAATATTATAGAGTGGTCAAACAAGCACCTGTTATGTGTGTGATTATAACATTTTTGTAACGATAGCATAGCATTGATGTAATTATATTAATTACATGACCTTTTCGGTGCCCCACTTGTCCACTCTGTAAACGATTTTTTTTCATGTATGTAAATCCGTGCCATATTGGAGTCGATCTACGAGTAAGAAATAGTAACACTGTGAATGTTACAGACAGTTTTAACACCATGCATGAAAGATAACCAGTGCGCTTCGTACACCTTCGGTTACTAATTTGTAATTTGATTGTGAGTAGCTTGAATTATTAAATTATGTTGTTTTTAAGCGATCATTTGGGAATTTTATCGATTATACTTTTGCAAATTATTTAGCTGTTAAAGTTTCAAGCGTCCATCACACTGTTTATTTTACTATTGATTAATGTTAATGGTCATAAATATTTAAAAATAGATTCAAATAAATGATATAAATATTGGATTACAGTCTTTGGTATTTTACCCTTGTAGGTATATAAACGTGAAAAAGTGAGTCCTAGTTGATCCTTGGGGGGTGGTTTGCTACCATACGTCTTCAAGTTGGGGAATAGTAGGTAAAGAACACATCTCTCATTTTTAATTTTTACTTTCTTGATTGGTCTACAATACCAGCCGAATTGTGATTTTTTAAAACGCCAATGGGGAAACTGCAAAATTTTTCGGCCTATCTGGAGAATATGATAGACAACTAGCTCTTTTTCCATCTACAGGATCGATATTTAATCCCTCTATTCTGGTTTAAATTTTTCGCAATCTTGTAGTAGGAGAATATACTGTGTGAAGAGGTCCTATATTACATCATTGTATCGAGTATCATGTTTGTAAACTTCCTGGCCACTAGTAGAACATGATGAGCAGAATTTCCCCTTGTCTGAGAACTACTTTCCAACACTGTACTTTGGCTTAAATTTTTCGCAACCTCGTAGGAGGAACCAGGAAAACATGATGAACAAGGTCTTTTTTCATCAACACTATATTATTCTTTTTCAATCTTGTATCAGGAGAATGTACATTGTGCCATCGCTATCTGACCATAGATATAGAAGAACCAACTGGGACCCCCATAGAGAGAACTTAAAAGGTAAATCTCGAGAACTACAGGAGTCAATAACTCGGCTGCACTCGAGGTCATGGAATGGAACCTTCGCATGATCAAAGTTACATATGAGTGCTGTCCCGCAAAAGAAAGGAGAACCTCAAATAAAGTTCCTTGGTGGCACGGGGGATGTTGAACAAATTCTAGAAGGTGCCAGACTCCAAAGAGCCTTACAAAAAGGAACAGAGGGTATAGAATCTGTTCCTTGAACAAAATTGGGTGGGATTGAGAGGAAAGGAGACCTTGGAGCTTTTGTTTCAATCATACTTTCCGGTATCAAACACCCTTTGTGTTTGGTGGTAGACGGACTGCTGAGGAGATTAAGTGATGCGAAATACACCACTACACCTATGCCTGATGACATACCTATAGTGATTGTGGTACATGGCAGATGTGAGGAGACCATATTAACCGTAACTCGTCGTAACTCTTATAAAATTTTTCTGGCTACCAGTAAAACATGATGCATAAAGAGTTCTAATAAATATTTCGTTCTATTGCTATATTCACACCACGATTCTGACTTGCCCAATCCTGTATCAGGAGAATATAATGTGCGAGAAGAAAGGTTTCTCCTTCTAATACAAGGAGTATCAGTCGGCAAGCTCTTCTAAAAGTTTTCTGGCTACCAGGCGAACATGATGGACAAGGTCTTTTTCTATCAACAAGAGAAATATTTCAATACTCTACTGCGTAGTCATTTGTTTTTCAATCTTTTATCAGGAGAAGATAATGTGCTAGGGGGGGGGGGTCTTCTTGCGCCCTATACCCGGAGAAACAGTTGGTCAACTCTTGAAAAATTTTTTTGCTCACCAGGCGAACATATGGTGGACGACAAGGTTTCTAATAAGTAAATAAGAGAAGTACCTATTTCAACGCTTTACTCAGGTTTAAATTTTCCCCAATCTCGTATAAGGAGAATGTAAATGGCGAGGAGTCTGTCAATGAATCTTATACCATCAGTTGGCAAAATCTTGCAAAGTTTTCTGACTACCAGGAGAACGTGATGCACGAGGTCTTTTTCTATCAACAAGAGAACTACTTATTTTAACGCTCTACTCTGTATTAATGTTTTGTCCGGAATATCGATTGACAAACTCTTGTAAAATTTTTTTGACCACTAGGAATAGGTACATGATAATTGATAAAAGAGTGGGTATATTTCCATTATCAAAGACAATTATTATTCAACGCTGTGCTCCATCTTAAAATCCTGTATCAGGAGAATGTAATGTGCGAGAGGCTGTTCTTGCTTTTAATACACGGAGTATAAGTTAATAAAGTTGGCAAACTGATACAAGATTTTTCTAGATCAGGAGACCAAGATGTGTCAGAATTGGTATTTTCATCACCTTAGAAACATTTCAACGTTTTACTTTAACTCAAACTTCTCTCAATCTTGTACCTATCAGGAGAATGTATAATGTGCGAGGAGTCTGTCAACGAATCTTATACCTTTGCATGTTTCTCTGATCCTAATAAAACAATTTTTTAAAGAGGAGGTGGTGTTGAGTGAACTGAATGCATTAGAAGCTGCATTCAGTTGTATAAAATATCCTGAACGCGTTGTATGAAACTTAAGAAATGGTAGGCAGCCAGTGGGGCCGCTGGAATCTCATCAAAATGGCATATGGCTGTGTGTAGTTCAAACTTTACTGCTATTAATTTGACATGAAAAGTACCGGTGAAAACGCAAGCAATGCCTGTTCAAATTCGATTCTTATTTCAAACAGAATCACATACGAAACACTCAAAAAGTTAATTAGAGGACCCCCCTTCTCGTATTGCTTACGCACCGTCCGGCAGCGGGCAACATTACAGCGAAGAATCGGAACTGTATGCCGTACCCCCTTCACGGAAATAAATTGTTAATCGATCATGCAGGCAATATCACATCGATAATAGATACGTACATTTTCACATGAATGCATAAATATAAATTTTTAATAAAATAATATAAAAGCATAACCGCATAACCATCTGTACAGTATAACAAGCAATCACGACTCAGTAAATGTACCTACTCAAACAAAAGCTTGGAGCACACTACGCTTCATATACAGGGTGATTCCTATAGTACCTGCCACCGTTTGGGAGCGTATAGGGGGTGCCTAGGGGAGTATTTTGATATAGGACACTTAGGGTCGGAAATCTAAAATAAGGGCGCCAGAACCAAATTTATCTTCTGGAATTTCACGCCTGTATGTAGGCAACCCAACCGACCGACGTTTCGCGCGGAGCGATGCAGAGCGAGTTAGCGCGAGGAAGCGACATGGGAGGGAAGGAGGGAAAACGACAGTCAAAAGCAATAACGTTTACAAGTGTTCAACGTGGCCACCGTTGTTCTCAATGCACTTCCTACATCTAGCCAACTATTATTATACTATTTCCATAGTGTTTATTCACTTGATACGCGTCGTTTCAGACGGGATTTCGTGGGTTTAAACAAAATTCTGATCAAGTGTCAGCCACACATCGCCGCCTGAGATCGCTCCGTGTGCACCGCCGGCCGGTTGGGTTGCCTACCTACAGGCGCGAAATTCCAGAAGGTAAATTTGGCTCTGGCACCCTTATTTAGATTTCCGACCCCAAGTGTCCTATATCAAAATACTCCCCTACGCACCACCTACACGCTCCCAAACGGTGGCAGGTACTATAGGAATCACCCTGTATATCCGTGTTTTATGCAAAATGTAAATAATATCAAATTGTGACATGAAATTCAACGATTGATGTTTAGTACAAGAAAGAATCAGAAACTTGTAAGTCTCTGGAAAGAATAAAATGATTACTACCTACTTGTAATGGCAAAACAGAACAAAATAAACATTGGAAACTGGGTATACGCGTGCCATCACTTGCGATCTCGGAAATCTAATGACCCACGTTAACCATCTGCGAAGCTTTTCGTCGTGAAAATACCCTGTTATTCGGCAGCTGCGCAGAACGAGTGCTGTACGTATAGCGAGCGTTTGGTATTTTTCCCATACTGTCATTCTTTTTGATGTAAGGTGTGTAATGTGTTGCCTAAGCATCTACGGCTAGGTCACGACACTATAGTTTTCAGAACGTTCTTAAGGCACTTTCGAGAGACTTCAGAGGCCCTTTCTAAATTGTTTGAGAGCGTTACTTGCTGTTTATAAGAGCTTTTGAAGGAACTAGAAAGCCTTGGGCATAAAACGATCAGATCGATATGGAAATCTGTGAATGCTTTCAAAAGCACTTATGTATAAAGCTATGGTAAACGTTTTAAGCTCCTTTCAGACCATTTTAAACTCGCGATGCTGTGGAAAGCACCTCGGAATTATTGAACAAGATTTAGAAGCAATATCAAACTTTCCTGAAACGGGCCTAGGAAAAATTCAGGGGGCGAACTATAAGAAGATTATAAAAGTTTTGAATTGCGGACAAACACCGAAGTAACTCTGAGAAGCACTTGAAAGCTATAGAAAGTCTCTAAGTGCATAGAAGAATGTAATGAAAGTTTTCACAACAAGTGTTCACAGCATTTTAGACCACTTTCCAAGATTTTTAGGTCTTTCCAACATGTTTTGGAAAGCACATATCTGAATAGCCTTTAACGGACGTTTTAGAGGTTTATTTGATAATTTCAGAGCTAATCGGGCCTACAAAGCTGCAATAGTGTAATAGAAAACTAGGGAATGGGCCCCAAGAGCCATGAACGTGTAAAGATCTGGAAGGTAAGTTGGATACGGCAACCTTAATTTACTTACAACGAAATTGTGGTTTAGGCCACAAGCGAGCTAAATCTGCCACTGGTTTTGCTTGATAAATGTTAAGGAGTTCGATTTTTTTTAATTTCAGGTGAATTTGAGCCATTGGTGGAGGTTGTTACCAGTTACGACCAATTTGAAAAGACAAGAACTATCAAATTCAATAGCCGATATGACTGGTAGGCGTCGGTAGACGTTCTAACCAGAGTAGCATACATTATGGGGGGCGTTGTGACCAATGGACCCCTCCATGAATCATTTAATTTCCCTTTCACTTGGGCTCCTGTATTAACCTAAATTATATCACAGATTTTTGTGGTGTAATCTGTAATTGTATTATTACACCGTAGTCCGTACTACACACTTTTTTTAGTATTACCCTAATTCTCACGATCACTTTTGAGTCATTCGACCAAGGGAAGACCCACTTAATGTGATAAATAATTTCCATGCACTTACCTTATTATTACATGTAGACAACTTGCTTAACCAGTTTGACTATTTAAATCGACCGACGGGTCATGTGTCATTTACTGATAATTTTTGAACTTCAGATCTTATGGTATTACAAATCGCTAATCGGTTCCGTGTACGCGCAAATATGCATTAACTAAATACAAGACTTGGTGAAACAATTTGGGAAGTTAATAATCCATCATGTTCTACATAATTGACTACGTAGTATTTTTCGGTATGCTACTAATCAGCGTGATAATCGGCGTTTATTTCGGTTTCTGCGGAAAAACTCAGACCAAAGATGATTATCTACTGGGCGGAAAAAGTATGAGCGTCATACCAATAGCGTTGTCCTTAATTGCGGGGTAAGCCAAACTTTGGTGTTTTGTAAGGTGCAAATCCAGTTCCAGGCACGTTTCGGGGATCACACTACTGGCGCTTCCTTCGGATGTTTACCTCTACGGAGCCAACTATCTTTGGATCAGCGTTGCGTTGCTTTTCGTAGGCTTCCTCACCTGCTACGTCTATCTGCCGGTCATTGCGAAACTGCAAAGCGCCAGCGTCTTCGACTATCTCGATCGACGGTTTAATCGAAAAATTCGAATGTTGGCCTCTTTTTTGTTTGCCTTACAGCTTATTTTGTACAACCCGGTCGTTGCCTACATTCCTGCCATTGCCTTCTCGCAAGGTAAGTGATATTGTTTAATTTTACGTCGGTAATAATCCTAATTTGTAGCAAGCGGTATAAGTGCATATTTAATTACACCCATCGTGTGTATTGTCTGTACTTTTTATACGACAATTGGAGGTTTCAAAGCAGTGGTTTGGACTGATGCTCTGCAATTTACCGCAATGATCGGAGCAATTGTGGCAATTTTCAGCTTAGGGGTTCAATCGGTTGGAGGTTTCGCCAATATGTTTACCAAAGCAAGTGAGGGACAAAGATTCGACTTCGAGTAGTAATCACTGTATTACTAACAATGTCATTGTCTTTCTAGTTTTAGCTTGGATCCTACGATACGGGAGGGGTTTTTCCCTATACTCCTAGGGGGCACAGTCCTCTGGCTTTATAACGTAGCTTTGCAACCACCATCAGTGCAAAAGTATATATCCGTCTCGTCTTTGTCTAATGCGCGACGGTACCGTATTCAAAGTGGAGACTTTGGGAACGCAAATTTAGGTTTTCAGGGCGTCCGTGATCTTAATCATTGGTTTGGTCATTTTAAAGGTGAGTAACGTGCTGATTGGTACCACTATGTATGTAAGATACGAAAAATGCGACCCCCTGTCCACGGGCGAGGTGACCCGCACCGACCAAATTCTTCCTTATTTTGTAATGGACGTCGCCAAACATTTACCAGGTTTGCCCGGTTTGTTTATCGCAGGTATCTTTAGTGCAGGACTAAGGTAGGTTGCTTTCTGGTCTGGCCCAGTTTTCACACTTTGATTTTCAGTACACTGTCGACTATGTTCAACACGTTATCAGCAACGATTTATAACGATTTTGTAGTGGAATTTTCATCTGCAAATGTGTCGGAAAGGAGAACTAATTACACGCTGAAACTAATTGTCATAGTCTCCGGCACAGTTTGTACTATCCTAACATTCTTCATAGATAAAATGGGCGGCCTTTTCCATTTCGTAAACGCTTCCCAAGGATTAATAGCAGGATTGTTTGTGGGGCTATTTTCTTTGGGAATGATATACCCTATAGCAAACGCGAAGGTATGGTCCTTAAATTTATATTAGTTATAAATTCAATGGAATGGTATAGTGACCTATAACCATTTTCTAACTTCAGGGGGCTCTTTGTGGAGTAGTGACAAGTTTCCTTGCAGTGGGCACTATAGTTGTAATGAACCAATGGTATAAGTTACGAGGAGTAATCAGCTCATTTCCTAAACCAGTTTCAATCCAGGCCTGTTACGGAGCAGTAAATTTTACTTTACCTAGGTAATGATCGCGATCTCTTGTAATGTGTTTCGAAGCAATTTTTTTTTATAGAGACACTGCTTTGGAGAGCCAACCTTTTATTTTATTTCGATTGTCGCACTGGTACAATGCATTTTTGTCAGTTATAGTGGTAACAATCGTTGGATTATTTGTGAGCTGGATAACCAAAGAGGATAAGGTGCACACTAGTCCTGATTTGCTAAGTCCCATTGCTCGCATTTTTCTTAAGCAGGCTAGTCATAACAGGGAAACAGCTAATGTACATGAAATGACCAATCAAAAATAAATTGGTTGCGTTTGCCATCTAATTATTATTTTCTGAATTTCTCGCTCACGATAGACACATATGAGGACAGAGCTACCTTTACCATAGCATTTTGACAGTTGCTAAACGGCAAGAAACTCGTCTCTTCCCTTCCCCCCCACCCCACTTTTTTACGGAAATACACGTTTTGAAGCGCCAGGAATTTGAATCAAACCAAGTTTTTTAGTTTTTGGTATGTTCTGTCAAGGTTTAAATGGTAGAACAGGATACGAAAATTTCTCTATGTATATAGTTTTGTGAATCTTCTCTCTTTTTTTGTTTTTTTCAATGTCATTATTAAGTTTATAGAAGAAGAATAAAGATCATTATTAAATTATAAGCAATCGATGAGTCGTATCTCATAATTGACATACACACTTTGATCACCACCACACCCTCGCACAACAACACACCTCATTTGCTACATTAAGTCCTATTTGTAGAATTTTGCTTCCTATTATTTTACGGTATCGTCGTTAGTCGTATTGTAAAACAGCCGGCTCTCTTCTTCCTTTGAAGTTTGAAAATCATGATATTTGTCATAGGTCCGGTCGCCTGCTAGCTTGATGACTTTGTTGGCGTCTGCTCTGCCATCATACACTACAATAGTGAAACGGGACCAATTTATAACTACCGCTCTACGATATTTTATGTACGACAGATATTATGTAACTTATTATTTCTTTAAAAAATGAGTTTAACTAATGAACGTTACAAACAGAAGCAGTCCGAGGAAAATTCGCCGTTACGTCACATAATCACTATGACAAATTTTACGGGCTTCAAAATGCCCTCGGCAGAACTGAATGGTCGACAGATTAGTGCCATTATAACACCCCGGAGCAAAGTGGCTGAATACAAACACCCTATGTATAACTATCATTATACCCTGTATATTTATTATATCTTTATTTATTTTATTGTTCCTCTCTTCTTCTGGGCCCTCAACAGACTTGTGCCCCATTCAATTTGGTCTCAGTGGAACAAAATGGCCGACCAGTTAACGACTTATTGGTACCGATACAAAAACACTCATCACAATAAACACCCTGTGTCTAACTATCATTACACTCTGTATATCTAAAATGGAACAGTCATCACAAGTATAAAATTCAAATTCCCCGCACAAATTCAAATTTACCGCAACAAAAGGACAGCGACATCCTGAAATTCAAATATCCCGCACAAATTCAAACTTATCGCTACAAAATGAACGACATCCGCAAATTCAAAAATTCATTCAAATTTACCGCCACAAAATGGCGCAGCCAATCACAACGCAGCACCGTCACGTCATTCCCCAACCACAAATTATTTCATTGTTTACAACACTCACCAGAACTTATCAGAGATCAGAGTATGATCCTTGCTTCTGACCTCAGTGGTAGAGCGTTGAACTATAAATCCGTACGTTGGGTGTTCGAACTGGGTGGAGGTGAATTTTTCATCTATCGCGGGTCACACTGTAATTGGGCGCAAGCCTTTTGAGGGCCCAGAACAAGAGAGGGATAATAAATAAATAAAATAAATATAATTGCAAGACCCAAACAGCACGCCCACATTAGAGATGAAAGGTGGAATTTTAACAAAACAAAACAAAAAAATGAACTTAAATTTATTTTTGGGTTTGAAAAATGTGTCAACGTAACAGAAATTTTACAGGCCACGTTTGGGAGGACACATTTTCCCAAACGTTGGTCCTACAATTGGCAGGAAAGTCAAACGTGACAATACGGCGCATACGAATGGCAGTTTAGCTACTAAACATATTATAACTTCTGGTATTACAAGCAGAGATTTGAGCAAGTTAAGCACTCCTTTTAGAGTCGAGCTTACAATACCCAATGGGAGCTCCTGAGTCAGGATACGTATGACTTCGGTAATGTCAAATTTAACAGGCTCCTCACTTCCATCCCTAGGTGATATTCCCCTTGCATTGGTAGATCCGGTTGCGGTTAGATTTGATAAATCGATCGTTCCATTGTCCGTTACCTCATTTGAATCAATTATTGCAGATATGTTTAAACCAGCAGTGTTTGCGCATTCCAATAAGGTCTCTACGACCGCCTTTTCGAAGGGCCCTAACTCTGCATCTCTTTGTCCTGGAAAAGAAACATACACACATAATGTGCATTCCAAATCGAGAATTCTTACCAAGAGGATGATCTGCATGGGCAGTGGCGAACAGAATGGTACAAATAGACACTAATAGAGCGAGCATTTTCTCGGTATAAATTTTTCTTGTATTGACCCATTTCCTAAACGTAGTGCGATGTTTTATACAGGAATGTCGATAGGAGGTTTCGTAATGTTCTTCCAAGACGGTAAACAGTATTTTATAAATTTTGTCAACACCGGCGACCAACCAAGATTCGAAAAATATGTTGAAACAATGATAAGTGTGAATTATTGTGGGGTTTGTTTAGCAATATAGGTATTAAGCCAATAAGATTATGACATTCAAAAAACTGCCTTTAAAAAAAATTAAAGCCCTTTCAGCAAGCGCCATTGATTTATTTGTATACTATCTCATTTCGTTTATTCCCATATCGATTACGTACGTAATATTGGATCGCCAAGTACATAAATTAAATAAAATATAAAAATACTTACAGAGAGCATACATTGGACTAACAACATAAATATAAAAATAAATCACTGTCACGCAGGCCTTGGAGGTATTCATTTAGCAGATGATAGTTGACCATCCACGTAAGGACACCGGTGATCTAATCAGGCTTCTATTCAGTTTTAGAAGCTTAGAAGACCTAGGTTTGCCAAGGGGCCCTGTTAAGAGGGCCCTAGACTGTCTGAGCCCGACTGCTTGTTGCCGCTGAGCCTAGAATCCCCAGTATTTAATGCTGAAAGGTTCTACCCTGTATATACAACTTACGACGATACATACATTTTTGAGAGTTGGCAACTATGCAATTTCTAGGTGGGAAAGGTGGCCAAGGTTATTTGAAAAACAACCTTGGGAAAAAGCTGCCTGCGCCATCTAAAAAGCACGTACGTTAGGCATCTTGTCTTGAATGGCGGTCGTGAACGCGTCGCTCCATAAATGTTTGTTGTTATATTTTGTGTTATTTATGGCCGTTTGCACTGACAAATTTAAGTGGAGCTTAGCTTAAGGGTAGCTTAAAATCCATGGCAACGATTATTGAGACAATGGTTGCCATGGATTTTAAGGTACGCTTAAGCGAAGCTCCACTTAAATTTGTCGGTGCAAACGGCCATTAATGCAGGTAGTAATGTTTGCATTTCGTTATATCGTATTTGTGTTTTGTATGCCGCGTTTTATACTTTTTGTGCGTTTCAATCTTTGTTTTTGAAACTTACTTGTTTTAACCGCAATGCAGAATGAAATGTTTAATACCGTTATCCTTTTGTTTGTAATTGTTTACGTTTTTGGTGTAATGTTTGCTTAATTTATATTTAGTGATGTTGATTACTTGGTCTTGTCCCTGAAGTAACATTCATATAAGTTTTGATCATTTTATGTTAATAAGTGGAAATTACCGATTCGTTTGATGTATGTACTGACTTGTTTGTAGCTAATAATTTTTTCCCTGAATGAAGCAGTCGCGGGGGTGGTAAAAACTGTAGTCAAAATTGAGCTACGACACCTAATTCCGTGATTATCTTCGACTTTCAACTGTAGGCTCGAAACCCCGAAATCAGGGGCGGGTCACCTATCTTGCAGGAGCGGGATTACGCTAATCAAAGCTCTTCAGTTTAGAATCTATGTGCGATAAATGAGTTACGATTCGGAATTTCCACATATCTTGTTTTTAGTTAAATTTGCCCATAAGGCCGGGTAATTTTCCACCTTGCTTTTAACAAAAGGACTTTATTGCACTAAATATGAGTCACATCCTGTGTAATTTCACCTTTTCTTAGAATCTTGGTACCTGCTTACTTGACCCATAATTCCCAAAACTTGTTTTTAACCTATATGTTACCTCTTGAAGTTTACCTGCTACTTTTTGTGATGTTATAATTTTATGTTACGCATTCACATCATTACAAACAATTAATTTTAAATCACAATTTGATATTAATTTGGCGGCTAGGTTTTTTTTATTGGTAAGTGCTTTTTTTCCCAGCCTATTTCTGTTTTGATTCGGTGAACTACCATTTTCAAAGTTTATTTTTGCAATGTAATTTATTTTTGACTTTAATTTCCGAGCTTTTACATTCAATAATAATTGCGATCATTATTAAACAAACTTTTCACAATTTCAGTGTTTTATTTTACTTCCTTCTCTACTGTGCTTCAGGTCAAAACGTTGTCTACAACTAACGTAAGGGGGTCCTGCCTTAGATGTTTGATCACGTGCCACTTTTAAAATTTAAGCAGGATCTTGTTTAGTTTTGGAGGGAATAGTCATTCGGGTGGCCATTTTTAAACGTTGCCGGGTTGACTTTATTTCCGTGTTCTTGTAGTGTGAAGTTAGCGTAGAACCTGGGGGTCCCGGCCCAGTTAAGTACACTACAACGTAATGATAAATAGGTATGCTTGGCTTGCTAAGACCAAATAGTAACTAAAACTATCAAATTTTTACTCTCATCTTAAACAATACTTTAATACTTATTACTTAATTCTAATTGCAGACATTGACTGGGATAGTTTGTATGTATTGCGACATCTACAAAATGGATTCGTTGACAATATTAATATAATTTACCTGACTTGCACTCTTCTGGTTACGCCACTGCTTATTCAAAACTTTTCTTGTTCGTCTCTCTACGCCACTGATAATTAAACACCTTCGTAGTAAGTTTAACCTAACCTCACTTTTTTATTGTAAATATCCAAAATGTTTTTTTGGTGCCCTAGTCCTGTCCATAATAATTATCCGGGGGCGACGTCGTAGTGAGTTTGTGATGACCTTCTATTTAAAACCCCCGAGAGGCACAATCGAATTTCACATATTAGAAAAATGCGTTGAACAACGACTAAAGTTTTACAAGAACGCCACAAACACGAACGACTATCTCGCCGAATACTTACTCGAAGACTCTGCGCTAGACAGAGCTGGCCATTTCACTTTACGTTTAGCTGCCGTACACAATGAAACCTTTTCGCCTGTCTTTGTGCACTCGGAAGTTCACCTTTTACGATTACGTTTGCGAGCTTATAATGCTGGCAGCACTCACAAATTTTTACGACGACTGTTACGACACTCCAACGAGTTTATGGTGGAGTTGGGAGGCAATGAAGAAATTGCTAGCTTCTTAAATACACTTATTAATGTTGCAATGAAGATGTCTAGTCGAAGTTATCGTGCTCACACATTCGACGCTGAACATTGCTCGAACGACAGGTGTAAATTGTTCGAGCTGCGTGGTACGTATTTTATCGATTGTGGATGTCACACTGTTCTCAGTTCCATTTCAGCACTGTCCCTCGATGATCTCCCGCCGTGAGGTACCATTACATAATGGATATCTTCGCGTGCCTTGTGAGAAGTGGTGCCAGTTAATTTTGGCACTTTATGATCGTTTTCTTTGTGTTGTGCTGAGAGGAATGAGGTTTAGTAGAAGCGTGTTGGCGGCACTTGATGACCACCGTGTTCAGTCAATATTGGGTGCAATACAAAGTGAGGAAAGCTTTGAGGCTACGTTAACTTTTCAACGGTTTGAAGTGGAAAAGAGAAGGTTTCCATTGTGCATGGGAAATTTGCAACACATACTAAGGAAAAATCATAGACTTTCGCATGATGCTAGGTAAGCATAAAATTACTTGAATTTACACCATTTCTTATGGGAGTTCCTACTAAAATCTGCTACCCTTCAAAATGTTTGTAACAAAATGTGCTATGTATGTGTTCGTTTGTGTCCTTCCTAACTTGTTTTATTTGTAGCATTGTTGACCCGCTTGGCACAATGGTACTGAGGTACCGAGGGTATCTGATTCTAATCTAGGTTCTGTTCAGGGTCCTGGGGTAAATTTATTGTGGGTTGGGTTGGTTGGTAAAGCAGGGTTGGTTGAAACCTTGCCCACTGGACCTCGATAAAAAATCGAGAGGGTAAGTAATTACTGTGTGCAATACGTGGGTTGGTAGTATTGCAATGTTTGTGCATAAATTGCACTCACAAAATGGGCACATTGAACAACTATTGCACAAATTGCGGTAATATTGCACTACTATTGTGCACATTGCACTACTAATTCACACATTGTACTATTCTTTCATCGGTATTGTACATTGAAATGATTAGCCCCCAGTTAATTAGCTGCTTACTTCTCTTGTTTAAAATACCAACCCTTAGACCCCTTCACTATAATTTAAATAAAAACAAAATAAAACAATAAAATTATATAAAATACAATGAATTAAAAAATTAATAAAATTTAAAAAATAAAGTAAAAAATAAGTAAAAATAAAATAAAATATAGTAAAATAAAAATAAAATAAAGTTAAAAAAAATATGCAATGAGTGGTGGTATTTTAGACAAGAGAAATAGCTAACTTAAATGGGAGCTAATTGTTGGTCAGAACTCTATATTAAGATGCGACAAAGCATAAAGGCGGCATGGCAGCATTCAGTCTGACTGGGCGTCTTTTGTGCTCGAGAGTCATTTAAACAAACATCGCGACTGCTTAACTGCGATCCTCTCCAATTAATTAGGTAAGTCACCGGGGGCGTTAGCCCCGAGCTGGCACATAACTCTCCTGGACTTCCGACACTTCGGTTGGCGATTGGGGTTGAATGCGTCATTTTTATTAATTTTATTTTTTAAAATTTTTTTTACTATATTTTTGTTTATTTTATTTTATGTTAGACCGGCATTATCTGTGGCAACGCGATTTGCACAAATATGGAGTTAGTGTGCCCATGTTCATTTTGTTTTGATAATAAAAATGGTAGCTCTATTTGTCGGTTTTCATTTTCAAATATCTTATGTGACCAGTGCAATATTTCTGTAAGCGTGTACAAACAAATGAATGCGTGCAAATTCAATAATTTATTAAGGAAAATTGATCACACTCTAAGTAAACTAAAAATTAGACAAAATCCCAAAAAAAACAAAAATTTCAAAAAAATTTAAAAATCATAATACTAAGAAAGATTTAAAACATGGGAGTATTCAAGGTCGAAAATTTGAATATTTATAAATTTTCAGAATAATTTAAAAATAACAGAACATTCATATACAGTAAAACCACTGTAACCTTAGAAAAAGTATGCTTTGCGCAGCTAATATAGAAGGCATGGGAAGGGATTGTACACTCCCAGTAAGAAGTCGTTCGTTTTTAGGCTCAGTGCGCTATTGATTATTGCTCAGAGTGATGTTAAGTTAAATGACTATCGTAGAATTGAGTAATGTGTTATTAACTAGTAAATCGATAACTTTCTTAATTATATTGACATTAATACCGTGAGTAATGTGCAAATACTACTTCTGTTCTGGTTGTGGTTTTCTGTTCCGAATGTACATTATAGCCGAACCTGGTAAGAAATGCCGATCAAGTGCGGACGAATCCGAACATGCATGCGCAAATTTTCTAAGGTTACGATGGTTTTACTGTATATTCTGGAGATTTAGAGAGCTAAAAAAATACGAAAATTAAAAAAGTGTAAAATTGAAAAAAGTTAAAACCTCACCTAAACATTGGAAGAGAAGAGATTTTAAAGTTCCTACATTCAAAACAAAAAACGAAACTTTACTCCTTTTGAAATTTCAGAATAATGAAAAAAATATGAAAAATGACGAAATTCTGAAAATCATAAGTTTGTTAAAGATTAAAAATGAAACAAATTCGGAATAGGAAATGGGAAATTTTTTTTAATACGGTTGTATACATTAAGTCAACACTAACAAATCAAGGAAAATTAAGAAGAAAAGAATTTAGAAGAATTAAAATATTAAAAAGTTTTCCTTAAAGAGGCTCATTAGAAAATTTAAAAAACATCGGAAAAGAGGTCTAGATTAATATTGAAGATTTAGAAAACTATAAAAAATCATGTCCTAGACGGGAACATAAAAATTGAAATCTAGGAGAATTCAGAAACATTTCAAAATTTGAAGTAATTACAAAAACTTAGACTATAGTTAAAAATTAAAATAATTTGAAAAATTAAAAACTCAATAATTCGAAGACGAAGATTCGGAAAATTAAAAAAATAATCAAATTACACGTTTTATCACAAGCTGTCTGCACCTATTTATTGTAGGCATTGAATAAAATAATTTTTTATTCAAAGATGTCTGGAAGATTTCAGGGACACGATCTTAGAATGCAACGTTATCCAAATAATTTCTGCAAGCGTGTACACTGTACAAAAATGTAAAGTAAAGTAAGTAAATTTAGGAAAATAATTTATGTTGCAAATGCCGAATTCAAAATTAAAACAATTGGAAATTAACAAATTCCTAAAATGAATAAAAATTTAAAGGGATTCGAAAATTTATACAACAGAACTTTGAAACTTAGGAAAATTCCGAGGAACATTCAGAATAGTAACGAAAACTTGAAAAATTAAAAAATATGCGCCCACGACAGTTTACTCAATCCTGGGAGAGGCGGCGACGCCAGGCATACGTCAAAGTATCAAATAATAGTTAATAAACTTTAAAGATAAAGAGATTTTACACAAAGAAAGACCTGCAAATTTGAATAGTTTGACATTTTTTTTTACTCTCATTGCCTTTGCCTAGCGAGAATAATTGAGATACTCAAATTTTAGATTTAATTACAGTCTGTTCTTAAAGGACATCGGAATGTCCTTTGAGGATTCGGTGACGTTCTGGAAGAGCGAATACTCGAAGGACGGCAGTAACTGTCAGATGTGCTCTCACAGTTGGCAGCGGGATGAGAAACGGTACGTTTACAGCATTCGCCATTTATATGGACTCGCCGGCTCTAGGAAGAATTACAAGAGTCGATCGTGTGATTACTTTCAAGTTAGTAGAGTAAGGATTGTAATTGTGACATTGTTACCGGTTGCATTTTAGCGAAGTCTCATAAGTGCAACGGAAGAAGCTGTGTGTCCATTTAGACACTTCGACGAGCGGAATTTGAAAATGCTTCTGTCAACGCTACACGGTTTAGAAGCAGATTCGGAGATTACAAAAAGTATTTTATTGGAGCGGGTGAAGAATTCGTCTTCTGCATGTAAACTTTTTATGAAAATTGCTGGAGACGTCAGCAATCAGGTGTTGGATAGTCACGAGATTATTAGTCCAGTGCACTATTTTAATTTATTCCCTCAAGTGAGCAGTTGATGTAACACTGGAAATTGTTTATTTTATTGTAAATCTGAAAATGGCGAAGCGGAATCAAATGTAAGATTCAATGCGGGCACAGCTCGGTTTATATGATCAGAATTGTCACAATTACTGACTAAAATGAAATCACTAATTACTGTTGAAACGGCGGTATTTAATTCCTGTTTAAAGTTGAAATAGTTATTGCTGAAGTAAAATGTTTAAATTTCCCCATCAAATTAACTTGATCTGGGGAGGTAGTCTTTGGTTATAATTTAATATTCGTATCTGTCATTAGAAATTGTTCTAATAAAATGTTGTTTATATTGATGTTTAATCGCAGCTTTTGCCCAATTTAACACCATCAACATGGTAGCAGAGCGTGGTTCCTTCTAAATATTCGTTGGTTCGTCATTGCAAAGAAAGTCTTGACTGTAACGTGGAAATTTGGCTCAAATTGCATTATATTTAAACAAGCTACGCCCACTGCTCAAACTGGATGATCGCTCACTTTGATCCCTATGAGGAGCTTTTTCGGCGTTTGGAAATGTTGAATCGGGAGAAAAGCGTTGGCAGCAGAGAACGGGAAAACACGAGGGAAAACAGGAGGAGTGCACTTTTTTCTAGTAAGGCCTAAATAAAAAGTAAATCCGGCGGTGGCAGTGAAAAACGTAGCAAATATTATGTATATAAAATGTCAAATAAAATGAAACGCTACCGGTGCGGAAGTGCGGGGCGCATCCGGAAAAATTGCAAAAAGGGAAAAGAAGACAAAAAATAGTGGGAGAGCTAGTGAACCATTCGACGAACCTGTTTCCCACAAAACTGGAAAATTTTTAAATGATTTATAGATAGCTATTTTGTTATTTGAAAAAAAATTATAAATACAAATGTTTTAGAAAGCTGATAGATAGTTTCTAATATTTTTGTTTTTTTTAATAGTCCCTAAAATAACGGAGAAAACTGAGTTGCTTCTACAGCTCAGAGGGAATGACTTTCATTCGCATACCCTGTCCTTTTCTCTGAATCGCATCAGTAGCAGGTACACCAAGGAGGGCCAGAGGGTTTGTCCCTTTTATTTTGACTCGAAAAGCAATCATGTTACATTTCAACAAAAAGTATCATTAATTACTAGTCAATATATACATATATATATAGAAATTTATTATATCAATTACACCTTCCCAACATTCTGGGTTGCTGTGAAACAAAGGATACAATACAAACTTGAACATGAAAAAAAAAACAAACAATTTAATTACTTATATAAATGATTTCTTAAAATGTAAATGGAATTTTTTATAGTAGTTATTGCTATTAATTTTAACAATTTTGATGGTAATCCAAAAGTGTGGGAAAATTTTCGAAAAAAGTGGTAATTGTTCCGCGAGCACGAACAAGTAGTCCTATATGATATCAACTTTTTTTAATCCATAGGTAAGATTCTTTGAAGAAGCTCGTTGTTGAACCATAAATCTTTTGTTTTTCTAAATTTACGTTCATTGCTTTGGTGTTCGTCAACTTCGAATCTAACAGTGGGATCGATAATCCAACCGGCATTCTTCTTTTTATCAGTAGCCAATATGTCAACCCTTTTGGTATTGCCCGAATTCGCGGTACAAACTACCTCCTCGTAGACGGTTAAATATTTAGACCGTAAAGCGTCAGCTATCATAGTACGCACAGTATGATGGCAATATATCAAGAACAAATTCAATAAACATTTTACACCTCCACATACAACAAACAGAAATCCGATTACAAATCGTCGTACAAACCAAAAACCAAATTGTAATTGAATTCAAAGTCGCACTTCGGTATGTTAAATGTAAAATGCTACAACGTGGAAAAGTTCCACTCGATACTCCAAATTATACAAACACCCTGTATATTAATCTTAAATAAAGTGTGGGTTACATTTACGGAAAAATTCCACCCTATACCTATATACTCAATTTTAACTACTACCATTGTATTTATAACGAATGCTACAACTTATACAGTGCGCGGCTAAAGTCGCCCCCCCCCTCCACTACTTTTTGAACGTAATATACCGCAACGAAAATTCCGTGGCTTAAATAGGAGATGAAAAAATGTATCGCGGCAAAGTGACCGACGGCGAGATGGTGTAGGTACGGCGACATGGCCACGGTGAAATGGCGACGGCGAAACGTCCCATACCACCGCTATCTTCGTTGTGTCGATTAAAAATTTCCTTCCTCGTCAGCTCGCTCTTGCTTGAAGGAGGGAACCAAGCCATCTCTCTCTTTTACGCGCAACCTTCGTCCTTGAACAGGGTGGCTAACTAAGAATGCGAGGTACTGTATCTGACAATCTATCCATCGTAGAGGCTTGCGGTAAAAAAATTTATTACTAAAACGGGCACGAGCAAAACCTGGAAAATATTTTTAAGTTTCTGAAATAACCTCTAGGGGGCGTAACTGCAATCTGGAATCTAAAAAAGTGATGTTTATGTGAATTCCGCTATATTAACCTAACAAAGAAATGTCCGGTCTTTGAAGTTGACGATAATCTGAACAATTTTTGTTTGACAATTTTTCCTGTATCTCTAAAAATGAAGTGGTGGGGAGTATTCAAAGGTTTCCGTAAAGAACACCCTGTATCTTCGAAACGACTGAGCCGATTTTAACAAACTCGGGTTAATTGAAAAGAGTTATTCTTCAGCTACAAATGTTATACTATTTGAAGTTTTGTTAGTTGCACATATCACCGCTTGAGGGCTTTTTTCGACATTCCGACAGAAATGGTTAATTTTCTCAAAAAAATTAAATGCATCGGTTCGATTTTTTTTCATGAAAAAGTACCTAAATGATGCCTAAACAAGCTCGCGAAAACAGCATCTCGATATCTTTATGTCGAAAAGAGCCCTTAAGCGGCGATATGTGAAACTAACAAAACTTCAAATATTATAATATTTGTAGCCGAAGAATAACTCTTTTCAATTAACCTGAGTTTGTTAAAATCGGCTTAGTCGTTTCGAAGATACAGGGTGTTCTTTACGGAAACCTCTGAATACCCCCCAGGAAAAATTGTCAAACAAAAAAGGTTCAGATTATTGTCGTCTTCAAAGACCGGACATTTTTTTGTTGGGTTAATATAGCGGAATTCACAGAAAATCACTTTTTTAGATTCCAGATTTCAGTTACGCCCCCTAGCGGCCATTTCAGAAACTTAAAAATATTTTCCAGGTTTTTCTCGTGGCTGTTTTAATAATAACTTTTTTCACCGCAAGCCTCTACGATGGACAGGTTCCCAGATACAGTACCTCGCATTCTTATTTGGCCACCCTGTACAATTTGAATTGGTAAGATTCGCGGTAAAAGCGTAGTTTGCGTTTTTCTCCACGAATTAAATGTATAAAAGCGGGAATGGTTAAAATTTACAATTGCCAGATACCGTAGCATCACATGTTATTTTCCTTCAACTGGACTAGCTAGGTTTCGAATGCACTCTAGCATTCCACTTCTTGCGTCTAGATCTTCTAATGCCACCCGGCTATCTGTTAATATTGACGTTTTTCGGTTCACAAAGTTGAGTAGGCTGAGTGTTAGAGATCTTTTCAAAAAAAAGTTATATTGGGGAGACAGATCACTGAGTTATTGGTGCCCACAGGAAAGCATCATTGGGAAGACAGCAGCGGGAAGAGTTCAGTGGGAAGAGTGCAAGGGGAAGAGTGTAAGGGGAAGCGTATAGAGGGAAGAGTGCAACGGTAACAGTGCAGATGGAAGAGTGCAGGTGGAACAGTGCAGGGGGAGGAGAGCTGCGGGAAGAGTACAGCGAAACGAGTGCGTAGGGAAGAGTGTAAGGGGAAACATAGAGAGGGAAGAGTGCGGCGGGAAGAGCGCAGGGGAAAGAGTGCAGCGGGAGAGTGCAGCGAGAAGAGGGTAGGGGGAAGAGTGTAGGTGGATGACTGCAACGGGAAAAGTGCAAGGGGATCGGTACATGGGGATGAATGCAGGGGAAGAGTGCAGCGTCTACTGAATGTGATTTTGTGTGTGCAGTTAATTACTGCTTCATCACTCATTGGGACAGGCTAGTAAACCCGACCACGTTAGAAGGTCTCCTACTTTGTAGGGAGTACGTCAGGCACAGGGCCAGTATCCATGCCTGTAGGTGGTGATCTTGGTCCGGCCTCCCTTGTCTCGCGGGATTTACGTTTCGGCCCGGTCGACATTGTAAGGCCCCTATTCTCATGGAGAATACGTTGGTTCTGTATACGTGACTAGTCTTTTGTTTGTGCCGATTTGGCATCTGGACACGTGGAAGGCGTCCCATTATCTCGCGTGGAATTACGTTTTGGTAGCAAGTGCTCCGGGCCAATTAAGGGCGCGTGCCGGCATTCTGATCGGTGATAGTGCTCTGTACTCCAAGTTTCGTTCGACCCAGGAGATCTGTGGAAGTGCTCCGTGCGCGACCACCGCGTTGGTTGCGATCAGTGTAAGCACCCCGTGCCTGGTCGGTCGGAGCTCACCGCGTTGCATGACTCCTGCTTGCCCTCGTTCATTGTGAGGGTGGGCTATCGCACGGTACGATAAGTGGTCAGGCACCTCCATATGCTTGTAGTATATGGATGAGAGCCCTAGCACTTTTATTGTGCATGAGGGTTACGTTTTCCAGGTTGCCAGGTTTAAGTGGAAGAACACCTGGTGGCGATGTTGCAGCTAAGTGAACTTCTCCCTTTGGATTAATATCTAATAAAGGCGTTATTGTTATTGTCGATCGTCATAAGGCCCCATTCATGAGAGTTACGTGACATGATAGACTTACAGGTTCTCGTTTAGTTCCATGGTGGCAGTGATTGCACAGGGGGATACGTAGCCGTGTTGCATATGGGGACCTGGATGTGAGAAGATTCTCTCGATTCTCGTTAACTCATCTACTAAGTGTACCATGTGTTGCTGAGACATGATTAGGGTAGCTATGTAAGTCAGAGATGCTCCTAATTGTGTTTCTTGTAATTACAGCGGCCCAGGCCGAGAGCAGCCATGGGGACCGGGTACTGTTAGAGGCCTAGATGGTCCTGACGATTTGGGCTGAGTGATTAATGCTTATGATTGATGGATTTATTGGGTATATCGCTGTGCCCCTGTGTGTGTGTTCGCAATGGGAAATCATATTCAAATTTCGTTGGCGCCGTTGGCGGTAAATGATAAAGCATGTATTGATAAATACTTTAATAACAGAATAAAATAAAATTGGACAGCCTGCACGTTTTCAATTTCTATCGATGTTGATAATATGCACCTATATTTATTCCCTTAAATTGAAAACGCGCGCCTCCAGGAAAAAAATAAATCAACAGTATAATGTGCGCGTACTATCTCATATAAAGCGGCACGTAAATTTTAACAAAAGAACAATATAAAACTTGAGATGTCGTATACGTAATAACTCGCTCAAGCCCAAACACTTAAACTATATATAAATTTTACAACAAATATTACAATAAAACTTCATTCGGGGGGGTTCTAAAGTCAGATTCGATATTCAGGATCACAGGAGACAATTTGATTATGTCGTCAAATTATGGAATTCCTATAAGTTTCAATCAGTATACAATATATTTACATCTAACAGTTTATCCTAATCCTAGATTTGTCACAGTCTTGGTCAAATTTGGTCAGTCCGTTTTCTTTACAAAATTTTACTTGAAGAGATCTTCGGCGAAACACCATATCTTGAAGAAGTACTCGTTCTTCTGCAGTAGTTTTCCTCTGGAGTACGAGTGGATGTCCGCGTCCATACTGTTGTCTCTTAGCCACGAGGTGGTTGTCTCGGTACTATAGGATGTCGGCTCTCGGTCTGTTACTTCTTTGAATTCCTCGGCGTCAGCATCTGGTTAAGAAATCGTTTTTGAGTAGACAGTGGGAAATGGCTCAAAGTAAATTGTACTGGAAGCCGAATGGTTCGGTTTTAGATAATGGATTTTTATTGGGATGGCAACATTTCCAGTACCTTGGGGTCTTATGTTACAGTAGACGGAATTTTCGATAGGAAGATCAACCACAGGACGCAGGTGGGCTGAACGAAATACATGCACGAAGGAACCGATTTGACCGAAATTGAACCGGACTAGGTGAACGAAGAGCGATTCCTGTGTATCAGAGGTAAGATGAAGACAAAACCTACCAAAGTTCATAATGATAAATCTAACCCTGGATTGCAATTCGATTCAAAAAAAGGTCGATCTTTTTGTGGGAGGATATGAAGGGAGTTACGTTTGGAGATTGGCCGACCCTCAGATGAGTTTATGTTATTTAGCTCTAACTTTGGCTACAAACAAGGGTCTTGGGTTCGAATCCCAGGTAAGGCATGGCGGTTTGTGATTGTGTAGTGGGTTGAGTGGGAAGAGTAGCTAATTAGCTACTCCGCCCACTATAAAATAAAGACAATACAATTAAAATAAAAATATAAAATAAGTTTAATCCTTTGCTCAAGCAAATCGGATTTAAGGTATCAGAAATTTTAATCCGATTGTATGTGGAAGAACTGGAGGGGGTATTAAAAAGTCTGACTGACACGACCTTCCGGAACAAGAGAAGAGCCATCTGCTGGTGGGACGATGAGGTGGCGGTCTACGAAGCCCACAAGATCCCGCACAAGCCGAGATAACCGACAGAAATTTCTTCCAAACGAGGTAATTCCTTTTTCGGACTTGGTGCGAGGGTACTATTTAAATGTAGATTTAGTTCTGGTTCTTTGAAAACCATTTGCTTCATGAATTGAAATACTCATGTCAAGCCACTTAAAGAGAGATGGAAGCGGTAGGAATCTGTTTATACTCAATTCAGTCTTAATATAGTTAAAGATGGATGGAATGGGTTAGTAAGATACCTACGAAGATTGCTAAAAGAAGTTTTATTTTGCTTTGCCGGACCTCGGTTTCTCAACACGAATTGAAATTAGTTTTCGTGACTATCAAGTTCAAGCGGTAACTATCATAGTAAATACGGACAATAGCGGAAGTACCCGCAGATTTAAATTTTGGCGACTCATAATTTTAGGAGAATTTCAAACGCGTGAAATTAGTTTTGGTGACTCAATTTTAAGGGGTAACTATTACGGTAAATACGGACAATAGTGGAAGTTTCAAATGCGCAAATTTAAGGTTTGGTGACCTTCATAATTTTAGAAGAATTTCAAACAAGTGAAATTAGTTTTTGTGATTATCAATTTCAAGGGGCAACTATTACGGTAAATACGGACAATAGCGGAAGAAACACGTAAATTTGAATTTTGCCGACCTTCATAATTTTGGTACTTACACACGCGTGAAATTTGTTTTGTTGACTATGAATTTCAAGGGATAACTTACGAATTAGAAACTATTACGATAAATACGAACAATAACGGAACTTTTAAATGCGTGAATTTAAATTTTGGTGGCCTTCATATTTTTTCAAGAATTTGAAACCCCTGAAATTAGTTTTGGTGACATCAATTTCAAGGGGCAACTATTACGGTAAATACGGACAATAGCGGAAGTTTTAAGCGCGCGAAATTAATTTTTGGTGACTCATAATTAAAGAAGAATTTCAAACGCGTGTAGTTAGCTTTGGTGACTATCAATTTCAAGGGATAACTAACGAATTAGAAACTATTACGGTAAATACGAACAATAGCGGAAGTTTTAAATGGACGAATTTATATTTTGGTGGCCTTTATAATTGTAGAAGAATTTCAAACTCGTGAACTAGGGGTAACTGTTACGGAAAATACGGCCAATAGCGGAAATTTTAAACTCGCGAATTAAAATTTTGGTGACATATTTTTAGAAGAATGACCGTAACTTGAACTGCTAATCAAAGGTGCCATTCATTATAGGAGGCCTAAGCGAATTTTGTATCGATTTTCCGTTTCAGGAGTTGGATCAATAATTTTGATCAACGGGTATTTCGAGATTGATCCAGCAAGGGATATATCGACATTCATGTTGCTGTATTGAAGGATTAGAATATTAGTAGACTAACAGGAAACGTATCTGCACCGTTCAAGATCGCTCGCAACCTGGCGGTTACATTGGAAAATAAGACAAGGTGAAGTTCGAATAATACTCGCCCCCCTTTCCTCTGGTAGTGACATTGGAAATTTTGTGACCTTGGGAAGTAGGTCAAGGTAAAGCTGAAAGGTCTCTCGCTTTCAAAAGTTAATGAATTCAGATTCAGATTATTCAATTTCAAGGTCATCAGGGGTCAGTGATCCCTTTTTTGTTGTCACATTTCATTTTGAAGGTAATTGGATGCGAAACGTGAACGCGGTTGTGATCCACAGGTTAACGCCAATCGAACCTTCACGTTTACATTTGCCATCAACCCCAATCGATTCGAAGCCTAAACGTAATCGAACCAAACGTGAACTCGAGTCCAAACGTGAAGAACGCAACCCCAAACGTGAATACGAAGTGAAACGCGATTTTGTTCAATTGGAGTTCCGATTTGCGTTCACGTGCTGGTTCGAGAAATTTCGTGCTAATACGGCAAAACAAAGGCATGTTTAAACGCTTAAAATAAAGTTTTGGTGACTCTTATTATTAACTATTACGATAAATACGGACAATAGCGGAAGTTTTAAACGCGCGAATTTAAATTTTGGCGAACCTCATAACTCTAGAAGAACGGACGTATTTAATTTCATGTTGTAATTCTTCACACGTCTGAGCAGTCGATATCTACATTTGCTGTCGGTTCACCTACTTTTGAGTGATCGTAACTTGAACAGGGAATCAAAGGTGGTATTCATTATACGAGATCGCCACGTGGCAGGTGACCTTTGAACTTCTCCTTGACCTATTTTCCAAGGTTTCGAGCGACATTAGGGGGCCAAAAGGAATGAAATTGTAATAGCGAACACCATAACCAACACTGGATGGTTTCAATTTCATCTTGTAGAAAGTGAACTCACGAACGGATTTTGGTTTTGGATTTTGTAGGGGGAAATAAAAACTGGTAACTTACCTGTGGATGGTAATACTCTGAAAGGCTCATCTGAATCAAGAGGATCGCTGAGCCCAATTTCATTCCTCGCGAACACCCTAATCAGATATTCGTGGTCCTCTTGAAGATCGCGTATCGTAAACTTCTGCGTGGGCACCGCAACACGACCAACTTCCATCCACATGGTCTTACGCGTATCTCTGATTGCGATGTTGTAACCTAGCAGAGGCGATCCGCCGTCGGATTCCGGAATACCCCACTCGATCACGATGGCGTTAGGGCCGATTGTCCTGATTTCCAAGGGCGCGGTCGGTGGAGACGGGACGGCTGAAAAATCGAAACCTCGTGACATCCCCCAAAGACGATGTGAACGTAACTCACTTGCATACGTAAACAGATCTAGAGTTCTGGTCACTGCCGGATTGCTTACTCCCACGGAGTTTTCTGCCAACACCCTAAACACATACTTAGTCTTCTCCCTCAGGTTTTCAAAGGTGAACTTGTGAACTGAAGGTTCCAAAGTGGCAGCCCGTTCCCAATTGGGCATGTACTCGTATTTCTTTTCGATAATGTAACCGGTAAGTTCCGTGCCTCCCGTGTTTTCCGGTGCGTCCCACGTAATTGTGGCGCTCTTGGTTGTGGTGTCGGAAATCTCCAAGTTTCTAGGAGGCGATGGCGTGGCTACAAGTGAATTGGTTAGTTTTAAATCATTTCGGGAAGGCGCAAGCGATAAGCTGCATTTACTCACTGGGAGTGCCGAGCTTAGTGGGCGGAAAAATGCCCAAAAGGCAGTATAGCGTGGAATCTGTTTTCGCAAACTCGTACTTTATTCCTAAAGCAGCAAGCCAGAAGCGTTAAAAGCGTTAAGCATGGTTAACTTACTAATTCGAGCTCCGGCAGTGATGGTATCCTCGGGCAGGAATGGCTCACTCAGACCGACTGCGTTTCGCGCGGTTATCTTGAAGTTGTAACCTTGGTCTTTCTCCAGGTAGTTCACCGCGAAGTTTGTGACCGCTCCTTTGGTGGCTCCCAGCTTTTTGAACACGCGCCTGTTGGACTCCTTCATTTCCACTATGTACTCAATTATGCTGCTGCCACCGTCACTGGCACTCGCCTGCCATGAGATGGTAAATGATGTAGCCGACATTCCAGACACTTCCAATGGCGCCCGAGGTGGAGACGGCACTTCTGCAATGAAACGGTGAGCTTTCTGCGTTTAAACCCGAGCCACTTACTGAATGAAGCTTTCAGAGACACATTTTTGCTCTCGAGCGGTTCGGATTTTCCGATCGAGTTCTGCGCGTACACTCGGAAGAGGTACTCATCGCTCATTTGCAAACTTTGAACCGAGTAGGTAGTAACGAGCGGCTCCACTTCTGCGATTTTGGTCCACGTCATGCTTGACATTTCGTATTTCTCGATCAGGTACTTTGTAAGCTCAACGCCACCATCGTCTAATGGAGGACGCCAGGAGATTGTCGCGGAGTCCTTCTCAAGGTTCGTTACATCCATAGGTCCTTGTGGTGGTGTGGGTTTATCTATTGGAAAAGTAGAAGTTATTTTGAAATTTTAAACTTCGCAAGGATCAGCCGCATGATCTTGCGTAATTGTTAGTGACAACGCCAACATAGCATTAATTACCCGTAATTGTACTTTCGGATATGCGTGACTGTAAGCGAGCTGAGAAATCTGAAGAAAGCAGAAGCATGTTACCCTACAGCCCACCAGATTCGCAGAACTCACCAACTACTCGTAGCTTTATTTCTTTCTCTGCGAAGCCGGCCGAATTTTCTGCAATAACCGTATAGGTAGCCGTATCGTTCCGCTCCAAGGAGTAGATAACAATGGTAGTCGATAGCTCATCCGAGTAGTAATAACTGTGGCTGTTCGAAGTCATAATGACGCCATTTTTCTTCCAAGTGATATCGGGGTGAGGATAGCCGGACACTTTCAATTTGACCTTCCACTGCTCGCTGACCTTGAGAGTTAGGTTGGTTAACTCTTCGTCCACTTCCAAGCGTGGCGCTTCCTGTATCACCACGTGGCATCGCGTTTCCGCCGTTCCCAGCAGATTTTGCGCTTTGGCAGTGTAAATACCCTCGGTCGTCTCCTCGGTCTCCCTGATCGTGTATTTGGCGACGTGATTTTCGTAAGTAATCGTCTTGGACTTGATCGTTTTTCCATCTTTGAACCAGGTTATGTCGGGTGTCGGGTTTCCGCTGATGACGCACGACAGTGTCAATTCTTTGTTTAGACCGATCTTGACGTCTTTTAGAGTTTCTAGAATCGTCGGAGCTTCTTTGGTCGTCGGAGACGCGATGAGGATGTAGTCGGTGTTATATGAAGGTTCGCTTTCGCCGATTTCATTTACGGCTATCACGCGGAAGGTGTATTCCTTGTGTTTTTCTACTTTAGTTATGGTGTGATTGGTGGTTGTTATAGTTTCTGTTGTTCTTTCCCATCTGAAACATTTTAAATGGTAGAGTTTCATCTAGACATCATTATCTAGCAGAGATAAGAACCAAATTTTGGTGTACTTTTGTTTAGATCACCCAAACAAATTATTTCAGCTCAGACCAGAACCAGTTCACTTTTGAGTTTCTAGATAAATTTAGTATAGTATTCACATAACTTTATTTTATACAACAGGCATTCTCAAGAAGATTGGACATAAGTCCGAAAACTTTACTAACGATAGCTATCTGCGGACCACATTGTAGTGCGTTACAGAAAAGAACATTTTGAATGTGTGTGACTCGTGGATCATATCGGGTAGGTTTGTTCAGTAGGATCCAACGAGAACCGACTTGAAGCGCAGATTCAACTTGATCGATCATGGACGCAACTTGATTCACGATCAAATCGAGTCCATGGATCAAATCGGATCCATGGATGAAACCGTGTTAGTGAGTCGTGTGTCATAGGGATTTTTGGCCTATCATGGGGAGTAGGTGGTCGCTTTGCCGTTTCAAAAGTTTGGTTTTTAATTTGTATTTTGTTCAACATAGGAAAATTTACACATATACCGCTTCATAGCGAACGTGAACGAAAGTATGTCTGGGGATGACAAGCGATAACAAGAAACGTATTGGGGAAAGCGAGCGCGGTTGTCACGATCTCTTCGGATCTAAAAGTTCTATTTGAGCTGGATGAAAAGGCCCAAATGCGGGTAGGCCGGTCGAGGTCATTGTATTCAGAAGAGGACCCGTTTCGGTTTTTCTATAGGCCGACTATAGTGACTGAAGAAGTAGAGCGAGCGTTCTTTCTTGATTTCGCGAGTCGAGTGATTTTCGCGAGCGAGCACGTACCAACTTGGGTAGGTACGCTAATTATTATTGTTCTTAATTTATTTCAAGTAAAACCACGGTTGGTTTTCGTTTAACTTCAAGAGCAACCACGTACAAATACGTAGTCGACATTCTTAGCGGCGTTGCAAGAGGAATCATCACGTTTGTGTGAAGATTAGTGAGTGAAATCTATCCGAATAGTAGTAAAGAATTAGCGGTTTAATTTCGAGTACAAACATATTAAGTAGCGAGAACTTCTAAATTTCGAATACGTCGTGGAGGAAGATGTAAACAGACTCGGATTTGTGAAAAATCGCGAGTTATCTGTGTATGTGTGCGAATTACAGTAAATTCCTGGAGTAATAAAAATTGTTTATCGTCCGCATTCGTACCAGGGCCTTTTACTTACGAGTGGTAAAATATGCTTGAAGGAACATTTTCGAGTCGTAGTTCAAATAAAAACGGGATCAAATAAACTAATATTAAACTCATTGTGATAAACCAAGAAGTTTTTTCGGATCGCTAACTGTAACGGCTGGTTAAAAGCAAGAGCATTAGATTTCAAATTTTAAGAGAAAATAAAGGGCCAAACTTACGCAAGTTACGGGATATAAAAAAACATTTTTATTACTGCGCCAGTGCCGTAGAGGTTCAATTATGCAAGCGTGGTCCTCGACCCTTGTAAATGCAACTAAGCCGTTACATAGTGTGGCTTACCGTGTGGTGTCTTTAAGCCGTCACTCAATAATGTAGTTGATGATCGGCGTATTGCCGTCAAATTCGGGCGCTTTCCAATGTATGGTGATAGAGTTGGTCTATCATGGGGAGTAGGTGGTCGCTTTGCCGTTTCAAAAGTTTGGTTTTTAATTTGTATTTTGTTCAACATAGGAAAATACCGCTTCATAGCGAACGTGAACGAAAGTATGTTTGGAGATAGCAAGCGATACCAAGAAACGTATTGGGGAAAGCGAGCGCGGTTCCCACGATCTCTTCGGACCTAAAAGTTCAATTTGAGCTGGATGAAAAAGCCTAAATGCGGGTTGGCCGGTCGTGATCATTGTATTCAGAAGAGGGCCCGTTTCGGTTTTTCTATAGGCCGAGATTCAAATAGTGACAGAAGTAGTAGAGCGAGGGTTCTTGCTTGATTTCGTCAGTTGGAGTGATTTTCGCGCGCGAGCACTTACCTTTTTTAAATGTTCGAATTATTTTATATAATATTTAAATAAAATCAATTTCTGTAGGAGAAAAAAAACTTGGGTAGGTACGCTAATTATTATTGTTCTTAATTTATTTCAAGTCAAACACGGTTGGTTTGCGTTTAACTTCAAGAGCAACCCGTACAAATACGCTATAGACATTCTTAGAGGCGTTGCGAGAAGAGTGAGAAGAATCATCACGTTTGTGTGAAGATTTGCGGTTGAAATTCGGGACGGGAACATGCAATTAGAGAGTGAAATCTATCCGAATACTAGTAAAAGAATTAAAGGTTTAATTACAAGTAAAAACATATTATGTAGCGAGAACTTCTAAATTTCGAATACGTCGTGGAGGAAGATGTAAACAGACTCGAATTTGTGATAAATTGCGAGTTACCTGTTTATGTGTGCGAATAAACCAATTACAGTAAATTCCGGGAGGAATAAAAATTGTTTCTCGTCCGCATTCGTATCAGGACCTTTTACTTACGAGTGGTAAAATATGCGTGAAGGAACATTTTCGAGTCCTAGAACCTTTTTCAAATAAAAACAGGATCAAATCAAGAAGTTTTTTTCGGATCGCTAACTGTAACAGCTGGTTAAAAGCAAGCAATTAGAGCAATAGATTTTGAATTTGAGGTTTTAAGAGAAAATAAAGGGCCAAACTTCCGCAAGGTACGAGATGTAAAAAGTTTTTTATTACTGCACCAGTGCCGTAAAGGTTCAATTTTCATTTTAGGTAAGTGAGGTCCTCGACCCTTGTAAATGCAACTAATGCATTGCTATGCAACATATAGTGTGGCTTACCGTGTGATGTCTTTAAGCCGGTACTCAATAATGTAGTTGATGATCGACGTATTGCCGTCAAATTCGGGCGCTTTCCAATGTAAGGTGATGGAGTTGGTCTATCATGGGGTGTAGGTGGTCACTTTACCGTTTCAAAAGTTTGGTTTTTAATTTGTATTTTGTTCAACATAGGAAAATTTACGCATATACCGCTTCATAGCGAACGTGAACGAAAGTATGTCTGGGGATAGCAAGCGATATCAAAAAACGTATTGGGGAAAGCGAGCGCGGTTGCCACGATCTCTTCGGACCTAAAAGTTCTATTTGAGCTGGATGAAAAAACCTCAATGCGGGTACGCCGGTCGAGGTCATTGTATTCGGAAAAAGGGCCCCTTTCGGTTTTTCTTTAGGCCGAGATTCAAATAGCGACAGAAGTAGTAGTCTTGCTTGATTTCGCGAGTCGAGTGATTTTCGCGAGCGAGCACGTACCAACTTGGGTATAGGTACGTTAATTATTATTGTTCTTAATTTATTTCAAGTAAAACACGGATGGTTTTCGTTTAACTTCAAGAGAAACCACGTACAAATACCTAGCTGACATTTTTAGCGGCGTTGCGAGAAATATCATCACGTTTGTGTGAACATTTGCGGTTGAAATTCGGGACGGGAACATGCAATTAGAGAGTGAAATCTATCCGAATACTAGTAAAAGAATTAGCGGTTTAATATCGAGTAAAAACATATTATGTAGCGAGAACTTCTAAATTTCGAATACGTCGTGGAGGAAGATGTAAATAGACTCGGATTTGAGAAAAATTGCGAGTTACCTGTGTAAATAAACGAGTTACAGCAAATTACGGGAGGAATAAAAATTGTATATCATCCGCATTCGTACGAGGGGCTTTTATTTACGAGTGGTAAAATATGCGTGAAGGAACATTTTCGAGTCCTAGAACCGTTTTCAAATAAAAAACGGGATCAAATAAACTGATATTAAACTCATTTTGGTAAACCAAGAAGGCTGGCTAAAAACAAGAGCATTAGATTTCAAGTTTTAAGAGAAAATAAAGGGCCAAACATCCGCAAGGTAAGGGATATAATAGATATTTTGCCGAGGGCCTCTGGTCCGAGGGATTGTAAGTCGCCCGAGGGTTAAATATCGAGTAATGCCTGAGGTGCATACAACATTTTATTTTTCATCGTTGCAAATAATGCATTTCCAATATACAATTAATGTAATGATTATTGTTTGCCCAACAGTAAAGTGCTTCATACCAATCAAGTAGCTTTTTTATTACATAATATAACAGGCCGTTTGAGGGCATAATGAAATGACAATCCATTATGCCCTCGGGCGTCATAGACTGCTTTATATATCTCATATGACAGATATAATTAGCATATAATAGGCAAATGAATAATAAAAAGCATTTTTATTAATGCGCCAGTGCCGTAGAGGTTCAATTTTATTTTATGCAAGTGAGGTCCTCGACCCTTGTAAATGCAACTAAGCCGTTACATAGTGTGGCTTACCTTGTGGTGTCTTTAAGCCGGTACTCAATGATGTAGTTGATGATAGGCGTATTGCCGTCAAATTCCGGCGCTTTCCAATGTAAGGTGATGGAGTTATCAGTGACGTCCACCAATTCGGGTTTGAAAGGTCGATAGGGTAGATCTGAAAAAGGGCGCAATTAAAAACCCGAAGAGTAATTTTCAACGTTTTACCCATGACGATAAGTGTTAGCTCGGCCGAAGCTTCGCCGCAGTTATTCTTTAGCTTGATGGTGTAATTTCCGATGTCTTCAAATTCGACTCTTCGTATGGTTAGACTGACGTTTTCTTCGGTTATGGCTGGTTGGTGGCGCCTCGACGGTTGTATTAAGGTGTAGTTGACGCTCCATTCGTCAGCCGGTGTCGGCGTACCAGTGTATTTCACGTTAAAGGTGACATTTTCTCCTTTTCTAACCTTGTAAACCTTATTGGTGTCGTCTACGAACAGCTTCGGTAACGTCTCTATAATCTCAATCTTCAATTTTGTCGTGGTGCTCACGTCTTCCACTCTGCACGAATATTCCACTTCATCTTCAGTTTTGACGTTTCGTATAATCATCTTCTTCACATGCTTCTCGGATATAATGGTGTACTTGGTCGATTCCTCGATGATTCTACCTCGGCGAAGCCATTCCACCTCAAGATCGGGCTTGTTCAGCTCGACGGTGAGTGTTACGTCAACGGCCAGCTTGGTTAGTGTTATTTCCGGCAATTCTCTGACGAAACGGGCCGGTAGTTTCTTAACCGTTAACTTCGCCGATGACTTTTGAGTTCCGACCTGACGAGCAGAAGTTAATTGTTAATTGAATGAAAATCTCATCTTACCTGGCAGGAGTAAACGCCTTTATCCTTCAGCTCCGTGCTGTATATCTTCAACTTCTGCCTTTTACCATCGATTGACAACTGCACATGCTCGGAGAACTGCAATTCCTCCCCATCCTTAAACCATCGCACCAAGGCATCGCCTTTGGTAAGCTCAATTTCGAACGTCGCCTTCTCTCCCTCGGTAACCGTTTGGTCGACCATTTTGGTGATAATTTCCGGTGGCAATTCCACCACTGTCAGCTCTGCGGCGCACTCGTCATCGGGCAACGAGCAAGAGTACTCGCCTTCGTCGTGTATGGTGATGTCGTGGGCGACAAGTCGGCGCACCCCGCCGTCTTTTTCGATTATATATTTACCATCGGACTCGGTGATTGGCTTGCCATCTTTCTTCCAAACCACATCTGCAGTATCCGAGCTCACCTCGACCTCTAAAATCGCGCTCTCCTTCTCTTTCACCTCGCAATCCTGCAACTTCCTTACAAACTCGGGTTTCTTCGGAATCACGGTCACGCTCGTCTCGGTCTTTTGATTTTTGACCGTGCACTTATAGCTACCGGCGTCACTAAGCGTTGAGGTCTTCACCGTCAGTTTGTGAGTGCGGCCCTCCTCCATGACAACGTGGTGGTCCATACCGGTAATCTCCTTGTTGTTGTGGTACCATTTCGTCGAAATGATATGCGAGGTCTCGCATTCGAGGAGCAAGGTGTCACGCTCGAAGATTTCCATGGTCTTCTTGAGCTTCTTGGTGAACTTTACGGTTTCAACGTCGACAATGACCATGGCGCCATGCGACGCCTTGCCAACGGGGTTGCTCGCGATGCACTTGTAGTCGCCGGAATCCACGTCGGGGTTGGCGTCGGTGATTGTCAGTTCGATATTTTCGCCATCATACGACAACTTCGTTCTCGAGTTGGGTTTTAGCGGCTCGTTGTTCTTCAACCACGCGACCTCCGGAACCGGGTTTCCTATGACTCTGGCAAACAGTCGGATGGTCGATTTTTCCGTCACGGTTACACCTTGGAATCGTTCCGTGAACATTGGCGGTTCTGGTTTATCGGTCAGGAATTCTGGAATATTAGACAATTTAGCAAAGCTTCTTTGTGCGCAAGCTTAGGGTTGTAAAATCAAAGAAAAGCAAAGCGAGGATATTTTTATTGTAATACATTGGCGTAACAAGCGTTGGTTGATGGTTAGCAGATCAGCAGATTAAGTTCGCTTCCTGATTTACCTTCCACAGTTAGTTCAGCCGCAGTTTCCACAGACCCTAATTTGTTGGTTGCCTTAACCGTATACCTTCCCATATCCTTGGTGGTGGTCTTAGATATGGTAAGCGAATAGACGCCATTCTTCTCAACAATTTTGTTGGACGAGATTGGCTTACCGTCTTTGTACCAGGTTACCTTCGGCGTCGGAGTACCTACTATGTGAGTGCTCAAGGTTACGCTCTCTCCACTTTGAACCGTTACACTCTTGAGGTTCTCCAAAATTTGGGGCGCCTCATCTTCTAGAGTTCGAACAATCACCATAACCGTCACAGAGGCCTTCCCTTCGCGATTTCTCGCTTTAATTTCAAACAGACCTTCCTGCGTCTTCTTGATCTTCGTAATTTTGAGCGTTGTAGTGTAGGTGTGCGTATCGGACTCGGTGGTAATGGTAACGTTGTCCTTCGTGGTCAGATGCTTCTTTCTACACGACCAAGTCACTGTAGGCTCCGGTACCGCAACCAATTTGCACTCCAACGTCACATCGGTACCCTCATCTACGTATATGGCACTCGGTTTCTTTGCAAATATTGGAACAATGCCCTCCAAGATGTCCGCCAGCGAAGACTCTCGCGACAGACTCTTTCGTGATAGCCCAGTTGTGTCGGAGCCGTGATCGGAAAGGGGCAGTTCGACAATCAACTCTGTCGTGCTGGAAGCGAATCCGGCCGAGTTCTTAGCCACGCACGTGAAAGTGCCCGCGTCTTCCGGGAACACCTCCTTGATAATTAGAGTAGCTACGTTATCTTCATCGTAGAACATTTCGTAATCTTGCGACGGTTTAATAATTCCCGTTTGTCTAAACCAAGTTATTTGAGGTCTGGGCGCTCCTATCACTTTACACTGGAATTGAACGGTGTAGCCATCTTGCGCGTGCTGGGGACGTAGTTTCTCGACGAATCGTGGAGCAAACGTGGTCTCGGTGGATGCGGGTTCTAAAAGTACAATTGTCAATGGATAGACACAGAATGTGAAACTTACTCTCAAAGGTAGGCAGTTTATCAATTTTTTCGTTGAGCTTTTTCTGCAGGTAGATGGCATAGTCGTGCTCATTCATGAGATAGTTTGAAGGAACCCAACCCTTTTCCTTTGTCAGGCTCTTTTTGACCAACCACCAATCGGGATTATCAGTTTCCAAGACGTACAACCGTTCCCCTTCAACTAAATCGGTGGCTTGATCGGTTTCGGCTGTATAGTAAGAAATGGAGAAGAATATCTCGTGGTCTTCCTCTTCTTCTTCAGGTTGCTCTTCTTCGGTGATCTCATGCTCTCGAACTATGCGCAATGCCGCTGCTTCTGTAAAAAAATCGGTTACAAACACTCTTACAAAGAAAGGGAGTCAAGCGATTCAGTAAGCTTCAATAATAACCTTCATCGAATGTTTGAACTGAAACCTTCCTCTTCGGTTTGAGTGACACAGAAAGAGACCCTTCCGAATATTCCTCCTCGGGCTGCTTCGGTTTCTTAATCTCCAGTTTAACCTCTTCTTCAGTTTCCTTTCGCACTTTGTAAGGTTTTCGTTTTGGCTTCTTCTTACGCAACGCAATGTGGTAGCTCTCTTCTTCTTCACCATCGTAAGGAAGCTCCTCGGCATCGCTACCCTCATCAATAATCTCTTCTATGGTCGGGCCTTCATCTTCAATTTCGCGAATAACCTTCACCGTGTCTTCGGCCATTTCCTCTCCGTAGGTCGGGCGGCGTTTCAATCTGATCTTACTCGACATTGAAATTTCTTCTTCCGCGTAAGAATCTAATTGCATTTTAAATTCTTGCTCCACATCCTCTTTGCTCTTTGTCACCTTTGGTCTGAACGTTACCGTTTTGACTTCTTCTTCTTCGGCCTTTGAAGATCTGCGTACAGGCTTCAACCGTTTAACTGTAAGTTCTTCAGAATGTTGTTCTAGGGAACCTTTACGGGAGGATGGCTTCTTTTTAACAGTCGCTTCTTGTTCTGCATCTTCAGGTTTGACCACTTTAACTTTTTTAATGGTGGTCTCGTCTTCGCCGTCATCAGGTTTGGGTTTCTCCTTTGGCTTAAGTGTAATTTCAGCCGCGGGCTCTTCCGCCTCCACGTCCTCGGGCTTAACAACTTCAATCTTTTTAATTGTAATTTCATCGGCACCTTCATCTGGCTTTGGCTTTGGTTTAGGTTTGAGTGTTACTTCAGCTGTAGGTTCTTCGCCTTTCTCCTCGTCTGGTTGAATGACTTCTATTTTTTTAATGGTTATTTCGTCGGCTGTTTCCTCGACCTTAGGCTTAGTTTTTCGTTTAGGTTTAATGGTGACTTCGGCAGCTGGCTCAGCGCCTTCTACTTCATCCGGCTTTATTACTTCGATTTTCTTTATTGTCACCTCATCAGCTCCTTCGTCGGGCGTGGGTTTAGGTTTCGGTTTAAGGGTGACTTCTGCAGTTGGTTCGGTAGTCTCTTCCTCGACCGGTTTGATAATCTCAATCTTCTTAATGGTTACCTCATCAGCACCTTCGTCTGGTTCTGGTTTGCGTTTAGGTTTAAGCGTGACCTCGGCGGTGGGCTCCGCGGTTTCTTCTTCCGGTTTTATGATCTCGACCTTTTTAATTGTGACCTCGTCAGCGCCTTCATCTGGCTCCGGTTTACGTTTAGGTTTAATTGTCACATCAGCAACTGGCTCGGCCCCTTCTACTTCTTCAGGTTTTATAATTTCAATCTTTTTGATCGTTACCTCATCAGCACCTTCGTCTGGTTCTGGTTTGCGTTTAGGTTTAAGCGTGACCTCGGCGGTGGGCTCCGCGGTTTCTTCTTCCGGTTTTATGATCTCTACCTTTTTAATTGTGACCTCGTCAGCGCCTTCATCTGGCTCCGGTTTACGTTTAGGTTTAATTGTCACATCAGCAACTGGCTCTGCCCCTTCTACTTCTTCAGGTTTTATAATTTCAATCTTTTTGATCGTTACCTCATCAGCACCTTCGTCTGGTTCTGGTTTGCGTTTAGGTTTAAGCGTGACCTCGGCGGTGGGCTCCGCGGTTTCTTCTTCCGGTTTTATGATCTCTACCTTTTTAATTGTGACCTCGTCAGCGCCTTCATCTGGCTCCGGTTTACGTTTAGGTTTAATTGTCACATCAGCAACTGGCTCTGCCCCTTCTACTTCTTCAGGTTTTATAATTTCAATCTTTTTGATCGTTACCTCATCAGCACCTTCGTCTGGTTCTGGTTTGCGTTTTGGTTTAAGCGTAACCTCGGCAACGGGTTCGGCACTTTCTTCTTCAGGTTTTACGATCTCGACCTTTTTAATTGTGACTTCATCGGCACCTTCATCTGGCTCCGGTTTGCGTTTCGGTTTAATTGTCACTTCAGCAACCGGTTCCGCACCCTCAACTTCTTTCGGTTTTACGACTTCCTCGGCTCCCTTCTCTGGTTCTGATTCGCGTTTAGGTTTGACTACAACCTCAGGTACTGGCTCTGCTTCCTCTACTTCTTCTGGTTTTACAATTTCAATCTTTTTAACGGTTACCTCATCATCGGCTTCATCTGGTTTCGGCTTGGGCTCAGGTTTAACCGTAACTTCAGCAGCGGGTTCCACTACCTCTTCCTCTGGTTTAATAACCTCGACCTTCTCAACTGTCACCTCTTTGGCATCTTCATCCGGCTTCGGTTTGTGTTTGGGTTTAACTGTTACCTCAGCGACAGTCTCCACGCTTTCTTCTTCAGGTTTTACAACTTCAATCTTTTTAATCGTTACTTCGTCGGCACCCTCGTCTGGCTGTGGTTTGCGTTTGGGTTTAATAGTAACTACAGCAGCCGGCTCGGCAGCCTCCACCTCGTCTGGTTTGGGCACTTGTTCTTCTTCAACTTCAGGTTTCGGTTTGGTCTTAGGTTTTACTGCTACCTCTGGAACCGGTTCGGTTGCCTCTATTTCTTTAGGCCCTATGACAACATTGCGAATGAGAATTTTGTAAAAATTGAAATTGATTGAACTCAACTAAGACACTTACCTTCATCTGGTTTTTGTATTGGTGTAATTGTTACTTCGGTTGTGGGTTTAGGTGATTCACTTTCATCATGTACTGTGATTTCTTCCGGTTCAATCTTTTTCACCTCAGCTTCTTTATCTTTTGGTTTCTCAACCGCTTCAATAACCTCAGGTTTTTCATCCGCTTCTTTAGGTTCGATAACTACCACTTTCTTTATCGATACTTCATCGGCACCTTCATCGGGCTTTGGTTTCGGTTTAGGCTTGATTGTCACTTCGGCCTCCGGTTCGGTAGCCTCCACTTCGGCCGGTTTCGCGACGTCTTCCTCTTCCACGGTTACGGGTTTCGGTTTTGGTTTAGGTTTGATTGTCACCTCGGCGGCATCTGCTTCTTCAGGTTGAGGCACCCCTATGACACAGTTATGAATTAGAATTTGGGAATTACGAAACGAATTTGCGTAGCGTTGATGCTGATTGTGTAGGCCATTAGCGAATACTGTAGTCAGACACTTACCTTCGTCTGGTTTTTGTATTGGTGTAATTGGTATTTCGGATGTGGGTTTATGTGTCTCAGTTTCATCGTGTACTGTGATTTCTTCTGGTTCTTCGATACGTGTCACCTCAGCTTCTTTGTCTTTTGGTTTCTCAACCGCTTCGATAGTCTCAGGTTTTTCATCAACCGCTTCCGGTTCGATAACTACCACTTTCTTTATCGATACCTCATCGGCACCTTCATCGGGTTTTGGTTTCGGTTTTGGCTTGATTGTAACTTCGGCTGCCGGTTCGGTAGCCTCCACTTCGGCCGGTTTCGGGACTTCTTCCTCTTCGACCGTCACCGGTTTCGGTTTGCGTTTAGGCTTGATTGTCACCTCGGCAGCGTCTGCTTCTTCAGGCTGAGGTACCCCTATTAGACAGTCAGTAATTAGAACTTGGGAATTACAAAAAGAATTTGCGTAGCGTTGATGTTGATTGTGTAGGCTATTAGCGAATACTGTAGTGAGATACTTACCCTCATCTGGCTTTTGTATTGGTGTAATTGTTATTTCAGATGTGGGTTTATGTGATTCAGTTTCATCGTGTACTGTGATTTCTTCTGGCTCTTCAGTTATGGTAACCTTCAACTCGACTGGAACGCTTTCTTCGACCTTTTTGACCTTTGGTTTCTTGATCACAATCGACTCTGCAACCGCCTCTTCTTCTTCGCGTAATACAGGCACCTCAGGTTTTGTTAATACCACAGTCGCCGGCTCTTCTTCTTCGACTTCTTTCTTCTTTTCTTTTCTTTTGATGGTAAAGACCTCGGGCGCCTCTTTACCGGGTTCATCAGCTTCCGGCTGCGGCTTAGCCTCATCCTCGACACTCTCAGTGCTGGGCCGCTTCTTGACCTTTTTCGCCGATTTACGGGTAATTGTTTTAATTTCCGTTTCACTTTGATCTTCTTCTTTGGGTATCTCGGGCTTGTCTTCAACCTTGTCTTTCTTTTCCGCCTCCGCTTCAACGGTCGCGACATCCTTAGGCTTTTCTTCTAAATCCTTTTTGGTGTCCTCTTTCTTATCGGGAACCTTAAACTTTGTTTCTGTAGGTTCCGGTTCGACTGTGTCTTTTGGTTTACCGGGTATAATGGTAACTTCCTCCTTATCTTCGTCGGGAACTTCCTTTTTCGGCTTTGGTCTTTTGATTACTTGTTCAACGGGTACTTCCTCATCTTCCTTTCTCTCATCAGAGATACCCTCGTCTAGCTCCTGTGGAACCTGGCGCTCTACTTCGTACGGCTCAATGGGAGCTATATCGGGCGTTTCCTTTTCCTCAACCTTTACATCTTTGGGTTTATCGTCTATGTCTTTCTTCGGAGTAACATCTTTCTTCTCGTCCACCACTTCAGGAATCTTTTCCGGAACCTTCTTCAGTTTGATCTCCTCTGGTTCAGATTCCGCGTCTTCTGGCCTTTTACCTTTTCCTATCTTTAGGCTTTGCGTTTCATCCTCTTCTTCCTTCGGTTTTTCTTTGGGTTTACGCTCGTATTTAAATTGGTCATCAACCTTCTCTTTTTCTCTCTTTTTGAGTTCCTCCATTTCTCGATCCAGTTCCTCTAACTTCTTCAGATCATCCTCGACCTCCTTTATCTTCGGTATCTTCTTCTTCTTAATCTTCTCAGCCTCTTTAATATTACGAGACAACTCTCCGTTACCCCTGACCGGCTCCAGTTGGTCGATCTTGGGTTGCTTGAGTATTTCAGACAGTGGTGGGAAGGTGATGTATTCGATTCGACTGGCCAGTTGGAATTTGGGCAGTGTGACACTTTTAACATCGTCTTTCTTGGGAGCTTCCTTCTTCTTCAACTTAATATCACCAAGATTAATTGGAGTTTCGGTGATCACTTCAATTTTGGGTTTCTCGAGCTTGACTTCCCACCGTTCGATCTTCATCTTCACCGGTTTTTCCTTTACAAGTTTTGGTTTAACTTCTTTAAATGCGTCGTCAACCGTCTCACGTTCCTTTTTCTTCAGTTCCTCCATCTCCTTGTCAAGCTGTTCGAGTTTATCCAATTCAGGTTTCTTTGGTCGTTTTTTAATCACTTTTTCTGCTTCTTTAATAGTGCGAGAAAGTACCGCATTATCCTTTATGGCTGGTTGTATCTCTTTTATTGTTGCGACTTTTTCCATTTCCGGTTTTGGTGGAAATTCGACAATCGTCATCCTAGATTTTAGCGAGAATTTCGGTAATTTACCAAACGACACCCTCTTCTTCGTGACCTTTGCCTTTACTTCTTTGATTGTAGCGCTCAATGGTTTTGGTGTAACATCAGTTATTTGTAGAAGACATGGTTTTAATTCCACTCGCTCAACTGTTATAGGGGAAGCTTTCGGTCTCTCTCGTATTGGTTCAGTTGGTTTCTCTTTTTCTATCGGTGCTGGTTTTTCTTCTTCAGTTACTGTTACTTCCTCCTTCGGTTTCGGTTTTTCTTCTGGTACAGGCTCAACTTCTTTGATTACTTCTTCCACCTTCTCAACCGTTTCATCCACTATGACCGCCTCCGGTTTTTTAATCCGCACCTTTTTGACCTTTTTATCTTTTTTATCCTCAACCTTATCAACTACCGGTACTTCTGCTTCAGGTTTTAAATCTTCCGGTTTAACTTCCTCCTCTGATTTAACCTCTGGCAGTGGCTCCTGTTCTATGACCTCTTTTTTGTCTTCAATAGAGACTTCGGGCAAGGATTTGTCAGCGATCTCTTTCGGTTCTTCAACTTCTTTCACCACCGTCTCCGCAGGCAGCGGGGTCTCTGGTTTTATAACTTTTTCTTCTTCCACAACTTTAGGTTCCTCAACTTGCGGCATTGGTTCTGCCACTGCTGTCGGTTTATCAACTTCTTCCACAATCTTGGGCTTATCAACTGCCGGAATTTCTTCTTTTAGTTGTAGTGTATCTTCACTTTCAACCGTTTCAACACTTAGCGCCTTTTTCTCCTTAAGTTCCTCTTTTGGTTTCCTTTTCTTGTATTGGTCATCCACTTTTTCCAATTCCGGTTTTTTCACTTCCTCAAACTCCTTATCAAGTTGCTCCAGAATTTCTTTGGGTTCGTCTTTATCCTTCAGTTTTCTCGGTTTTGTTTTTAATATTTTCTCGGCGTCTTGTATATTTCTGGATAGTTCGCCTTTACCTCTGCTAGTTTTCAGCTCCGAAACTTTAGGAATCTTTTCAATTTCGGGCGCTGGTGGGAAGTTGATCAAAGTCATCCTGCTCTTCAGCATTACTTTCTTAGGTTTCTTAGGCTTTTCATCTTTCTTTGCAGAAATCTCTTTTTTCTTTGGTTTGACGACTTTATCTGGAACGGCTTCTGGTGTTTCAGTTACTTCTTCGGTTTTCTTTTCGATTTCCGCAACGGTGGGCTTTTCTGGTTCTTCGGTACTTTCCGGTTTAGGCTCGGGCTTAGCTTCTTCTTCTACCATTTCGGCAGGTTTTTCCTCCTCTGTTTTCTGTTCAGGTACCTGCTCAGCCTTATCGACAGGCTTTTCCTCTTTCTTTTTCTTCTTCGGCTTAGTAACGACTTCTTCCTGAGGCTGTTCGATTATTTCTTCCTTTTGTTCGGAAACAGTTTCAATTGGAACCTCTTCCACAGGTTGAGGCACTTCACTTTCGGGGATTTTGGCGTCTTCAATTGGCACAGATGAATCTTCTACGCTGGGTTGTTCCTCGGGTTTCGGTATTTTCTTTTTAGTGACTCTCTTTATTACCTTTTTGGTTTTAACAATTTCTGCTTCTGGTTTTTTCTCTGCTTCGAGATCATCAGGCTTAGCTTCTTCCTCAACCACAATCGTTTTCGGAATATCTTCCTCTTCCTTTTCAGGTACTGTGGGTGCTTTGATTTCTTCCGGTACTTTCTGATCTTCTATGATTTCTTCCGGCACTTTTTGATCTTCTACAACAGGCAAAGGTTCTAAAGGTACCTCTTTTGCGTCGGTTACATCTTGTTCACTGGGAGTCTTTACTTTCTTCGTCACCTTGGTTTTAGGTTTTGATTTATCTATGGTTTCTAATTCCGGTTTCTCTAACTCCGCTTCGTCGCGTGGAATATCATAAGGTTCGAATGGCGCCAACTTTGGTTCTTCCTCTTCCACTTTATGAGGTTTAACTGGTTCAACCACGGTTTCTTCCTTTGGCTTTTTCTCCGAACTGTCTTCGGCAGTAGGCTGCTCCTTGGGCGTTTTCTTCAATTTGACATTTTCAACTTCTTCATCAACTTGCGGCACTTTACCTTTACCGATCTTGATATCCTTCTTTTCCTCTTCAGGTTTTTCCGTCGCCTTTTTGGGTTTCTTTTCGTAACGATATTCGTCGTCGACCTTTTCCGGTTGATCTTTCTTCAATTCGTGAAACTCCGTGTCTAATTTCTCCAGCTCCTGCAACTCCCTGTGTATATCCTTCACTTTTGGTTTTTTCTTTTTGATGACTTTCTCCGCTTCCTCGACATTCCTGGAGAGGACTCCGTTATCCTTTACCGTTTTCAGTTGGGAAATTACCGGAACCTTATAAATTTCGGGTTGCGATGGAAATTGGACAAACCTAATGGGACTCTTCAACAAAAATTTGGGCAGTTTGACACTCTTTGCCGGTTTCTTTTCTGGTATGGGCCGCTTCTTTATCTCTCTAGCTTTCAATGCGGCTGGAAGATCTTTTCCTTCTACAAATTCTACTTTTTCCGGCTGAAGCGTTATTCTTTCAATCTTCATTTTCGGAGGAAGCACTTTCTTAGGTTTCTTGACTACTTCTTCAACCTCAGTTATCTCTTCTACAACTTCTTCTTGTGGCACTTCTCCCTTCTTTCTTATTTTTACAATGCGCTTCTTCTTGAGATGTTTTTCTGGTTCTTCTTTGTCTTCTATAATTTCTTCCTTTACCTCTACTTCAGGAGCAACGTCTGTTTCTAATGGCACTACTTCTGGTTTGGAATCCTCCAAAGCTTCTTCTTTGACTTTCGGTTTTACAACCTTTTTCTTCTTTTTAGAAACTTCCGGTGTAGGTTCTACAGGTTTGTCTTCAGGAATCTCTTTCTCTTCGGGAATAACCTCTTCCTCTACTTTGGGCAACTCCTCCTGTACCTCTTCGACTTGGGGCACCTCCTGTATCTCCTCGACTTTGGGAGCGTCTTCAGGTTTAGGAATTTTCTTTTTGATGATCTTCTTTGTTACCTTTTTAGTTATAATAGTCTCCTCTTCGGGCTTTTCTTCCTTCTGTACATCGGCAGGTTTTTCTTCTTGTTCAACCACAGTTATTTCTACTACATCCGGCATGTCCTTTTCAGGTGGCTTAGATTCTTCGACCTGTTCCGGTATTTGCTGATCTTCTACGGTGGGAAGAGGTTCCAATGGCGAAGTTTCGGCTTCCGCTGCGTCCTTCTCGGCGACAGGTTTCACTTTCTTTGTTACTTTAGTTTTGGGCTTCGGTTTATCTATCACTTCAGTTTCTGGTTTTTCCAACTCGGTTTCGTCTCGCGGAATATCAAACGGTTCGAAAGGAGCAAGCGCCGGAACTTCTTCTTCTTTTTCGGCAGGCATTACTTGTTCTTTCACCTTTTCTTCTTTTGGTTTCTTTTCAGCACTGTCTTCTACAGTCGGCTGTTCTCTCGGGGTCTTCTTCAGTTGTACGGTTTCTAGTTCTTCATCAGCCTGCGGCACTTTACCTTTGCCAATCTTTATAGTTTTCGCTTCGTCCTCAGTTTTCTCCGATGGTTTTCTAGGTTTCTTTTCATATCTGTATTCGTCGTCAACCTTTTCCGGTTGCTCCTTTTTCAGTTCCTCGAACTCTGTATCTAACTTCTCCAGATCTGTCAACTCTTTATGTATATCTTTAATTTTCCGTTTCTTCATTTTGATCACTTTCGCCGCTTCTTCGACATTCCTGGACAACACTCCGTTATCCTTGATGGTTTTCATTTGCGAAATCACTGGAAGTTTGTATATTTCTGGCTGAGATGGGAATTGGACAAACCTAATTGGACTCTTTAGCAAGAATTTGGGCAACTTGACACCCTTGGCGGGTTTCTTTTCGGGTATTGGTCGTTTCTTTAGCTGCTTCGCTTGTAGCACGGCCGGAAGATCTTTCCCTTCCACGAATTCTACCTTTTCCGGTTTGAGTGTTTTTCTTTCAATCTTCATTTTTGGAGGCAGAACTTTAACGGGTTTCTCGATTTTTTCTTCTACATCTACAGTCTCGATTATTTCTTCTACTTCTTCTTTTGGTAACTCTCCTTTCTTTTTAATTTTGACTATGCGTTTCTTCTTAAGGTGCTTTTCCGGCTCGTGTTCTTCCTTCTCTTCCTTCACTTCTTCTTTAACTTCATCTACCGTAATACTTTCTTCTTCAACGGGCAAGACCTCTGTAGTTTCCTCGATCGGAGTTTCATCCTTAGCTTTAGGAATCTTAATTTTCTTTTTCTTTTTGATAATTTCTGTTGTTGGCTCTGTTGGTTTATCTTCTACGGCGATTTCGGCTGGAGTTTCTGTTTCTTGCTCGAGTATTGGCTGTTCTGGAGTAACCTCGTCCTTTTTAGGCATTTCTTCTTGTACTTCTTCGATTGGAGTAACGGAATCTTCAACTTGTGGCACATCATCAGGTTTGGGAACCTTCTTTTTAGTCACTTTCTTTGTTACCTTTTTAGTTTTAATTATTTCTTCTTCGAGTTCTTCTTCTTTTTTGGGTTCTTCAGGTTTGGCCTCGTCACTAATAACAATGGGTTCCATTGCTTCCTCTACAGCTTGTTCAGGCGTAGTAGCTGCTTCGACTGCTTCCGGTGCTGCCTCATCTTCCACTGTAGGAAGAGGTTCTAATGGTGTTTCTTCAACGTCGGGTGTTTCTATCTTACCTCCACGCTTAACCTTTTTAATTACTTTAGTTTTGGGTTTTGATTTATCTACTTCTTCTGTTTCCGGTTTTTCCAATGGGGTTTCTTCTCTCTCAATATCAAAAGGTTCAAACGGCGCCATTTCGGGAACGTCTTCTACTTTCTTCTCAGGTTTAACCGATTCCTTAACAGCTTCCTCTTTTGGCTTTTTCTCGGACGCGTCCTCAGCAGTCGGCTGTTCACGTGGAACCTTCTTAAGCTTAACGGTTTCAATTTCTTCATCAGGTTGAGGTACCTTCCCTTTGCCAAGCTTGATAGTTTTCGGTTCTTCTTCCGACTTTTCTGATGGTATTCTGGGTTTTCTTTCATATCGGTATTCGTCATCAACTTTTTCAGGTTGATCTTTCTTCAGTTCCTCAAACTCCGTATCCAATTTCTCGAGTTCTTGCAATTCCTTGTGTATGTCTTTCACTTTCGGTTTCTTCAACTTGATGACCTTTATCGCTTCCTCCACATTCCGGGACAAAACCCCGTTATCCTTCACTGTTTTCAGTTGGGAAATTACCGGAACCTTGTAAATTTCGGGTTGTGATGGGAATTGGACAAACCTAATAGGACTCTTCAACAAAAATTTGGGTAATTTGACACCCTTCACGGGTTTCTTTTCCGGTATTGGCCGTTTCTTTAGCTGCTTAGCTTGAAGCATAGCAGGAAGATCTTTGCCTTCCACAAATTCCAACTTTTCAGGTTTAAGCGTTTTTCTTTCAATTTTCATTTTTGGAGGCAGCACCTTAACAGGTTTCTCGACGCTTACTTCTTCAATTTCGGTGATCTCTTCTACTATTTCATCCTGCGGCAACTCTCCCTTCTTTTTTATTTTTACTATACGTTTCTTCTTCAGACGTTTTTCAGGTTCTTCTTTATCTTCCTCAATTGTAACCTCTTCAGAAACAATTTCATCTTCCACTGGCTTTGGAACCTCTGATTCGTCTTTCTCTTTAGGCACCTTAATCTTTTTCTTTTTCTTGATAACCTCCACAGTTGTCTCTTCGCTAATGATCTCAGCTGGAGCTTCTTCATCTTCTACCTTGGGCTGGTCTTCAACGGAATCTTCAACTTGCGGAACATCTTCGGGCTTTGGAACCTTCTTTTTAGAGACTCTCTTTATTATTTTTTTGGTTTTGAGTATTTCTTGTGTAGGTTTTTGGTCTGTTTCTGAATGTAATTGTTCAGTGGTTTCTGTTATTGTTTCTTCGTCAGAAATAATTAGTGGTACCTCATCTACTAGACCCTTACCTGGTATAGCAGCGGCTTTTACTTCTTCTTGTACCTGTTGGTCTTCAACCAGAGGGATTGGTTCTGACGGTGCTTGTTCGGAATCTGAAATACCTTTGTCAGCTTTAGGCTTTACCTTTTTGGGCACCTTCGCTTTCGGTTTCTCTACTTCTTCTGGTTTTGATTCATCATCTACTGTTGGCAGTGCCACCTCTTCCTCTTTCTTTTCCACAACTTCTTCTAATACCGGGGCTGATTCCTGAGATACTTGCTCCACAGTTTCACCTTCTTTACCTTTGACTTTTTTGACAATTTTTTTAACTTTCTTAGGTTTCTTCTCATCCGCTGTAGTCTCCACGGTTTGATCTACTTCTTTGACAGATGGCACTTCTTCTTTCTCCTCCACCTTTTCTGGACCTTCCTGTTTACCTTCTTCTGGTATGATTTCTTTCGCAGGTGTTACGACTTCGGCATTTTCTTCAGTATCCACTTTATCCTCTCCCTCTATTGTTTCAGGCTGCTCGTCCTTGACCGGAACCTCATCTACCGGGGCTTTTGGTTTCTTACTCTTTGCCTTACGTTTAGGCACGGGTTCTTTACCTTTAGAATCCAAGTCCACATGTTCCGGTTCTTCTACCTCTCGATCCGGAGCTTCGATATCATAGGGTTTAAATTTACCAAATTGATCATCTTCTTCGGGCTTTTGAGGTTTGGGTTTCTCCTCCTCAATTTCTTTGGGGGCGGGTTTCTTCTCAGCATCTTCAACCGTCTCTTGTGGTTTTTCGGGAATTTTCTTTAATTTAACCACTTCACCTTCCTCGTCGACCTTTGGAATCTTTCCTTTTCCAATTTTAATCGTCTTTTTCTCTTCCTCTTTTTCTTCGGGCTTTACCTTTGGTTGTTTTTGATATTTGTAGTCTTCGTCAACCACTTCCGGTTTGTCCTTCTTAAGCGCTTCTAATTCAACATCCAATTTTTCTAAATCTTGAATTTCCTTGTCGACGTCCTTTATTTTTGGTCTTCTCTTCTTTATTAGCTTTATAGCCTCCTCAACATTTCTAGATAATTCCCCATTTCCTCTAATCGTTTGGAGTATCGTAATCTTTGGTTCCCGAAGAATTTCCGAAAGAGGTGGGAAGTCCACGTGTCTGATTCTGCTTTTTAACATAAACTTGGGTAGTTTGCTTTCTTTAACTTCTTTCTTTTCAGGGGTGGTTCTTTTCTTTAACTTAATAGATGCGAGTTCAGCGGGAGCATCTTTTGCTTCAACTATTTTCATTTTTTGCGGTTTTATTTCTTTTCTTTCGATAGTTTGCAGTTCCGGTTTTGCTTTTTTAGCCTCAAGTTTTTTAGGCTCAAGTTTTTCTTCTGGTTTTATTTCATCTTCATCTGCTGTAGGAACCTCTTTTTCTTCCTCCGCTGTTGGAACGCCCTTAGGTTTTCGTTTAATTTTCTTTTTTATTGTAATTTCTTCAGTCGTTTCGATTAGATCTTCTTTTTGGATCTGTGGTTTCTCTTCCTCTTCTTGAACGATTTCTTCTTCCTCTATGATTTCAATGGACTCATCTTTGGCTTTATCCTTAGGTTTCTTTTTAATTTTCTTTTTAATTACTACTTCTTCTGTAGCTATCACAGGAGTCTCCTTTTCTCCTTCCTCTGGGATAGGTTTTTCTTCCTCAGTTACTGTTTGTACAACTTCAGTTGCTTCAATTTCGTCAATCTTAGGCTTTTCTTTCTTAACTTTCTTCACTTTCTTTGTGGTCTTTTCTGCTTCAACTTCTTCAATTTCGATAATCTCATCAATTGACTTTTCTCGCACTTCGTCGCCTTCAGTTATTTCTATTGTTTCAGCTCCTTCTATTGTCTCCACCTTATCATCCCCTTTCTTTCGAACGATTTTCTTCACTTTTTTAACTTTTTTCTCTCCCTCAACTGTTTCGATAACTGGCGTCTCCTCTGTAACTTTCTGTTTATCTTCTTCAACTTCCACCTTCAATTTATTTTCCTCGCCTTCAATTTCGTCTACTTCTGGCAAACCTGGTTTGTCAACTTCTTTCTCCTCATCAACAGGCTTGTCTTCATCCTCAACTTGAAGAGGAGCTTTAGGTTTCTTTTTCTTAATTTTAACTTTTTCTGGCTTTTCTTTCTCCGTTTCCTCTTTATCAATGTCATACGGCTTGAATGGTTCCATTTCAACATCCTCTTCCGGCACTTTCTTCTTTTCTACTTCCGCCACCTCATCCTTAATTACCTTCTTATCTGAATCTTCATCTTTTTCGGGCTCTTTTTGTGGTATCTTTTTCAACGTAACAGTCTCCACTTCATCTACTGCCTCCGGAATTTTTCCTTTTCCTATCTTGAGGCTCTTTTTCTCCTCGGATTCTTCGGGAACCTTTTTCGGTTTTCTTGTATACTTGTGGTCACCATCTACCTGTTCCGGTTCTTTTTTCTTCAGTTCGTCGAACTCTTGGTCGAGTTTCTCCAGATCAGTAATTTCCTTGTCGACCGGTTTAAACTTGCGTTTTTTAATTTTGACTATTTTGATAGCTTCTTCTACGTTCCTGGATAAGATTCCGGCATCTCTGATTGTTTCTAATTCTTTAATTGTGGGATATCTGATTTCTTGGACGGTGATGAAGGTTATGCGACTCTTTAGCAGCATTTTTGGCATTCGCTTTTCCTTCTTTTCGACTTTAGGGATGACTCGCTTTTTAAGTGTAATCTTGGCCAATTCATTGGGCACATCCTTTGCTTCCACCACTTTTACTTTCTGAGGTTTAACTTCTGTCACTTCAAGCTTCATAAGTTTCGGCTTCTTCTTCACTTCCTCCTTTTCTTCCGGTTTTTCGATTTCTTCTTCGGGAACTTCTTCCTGGTCCTTATCTTCCACCCCCTTGATTTTCTTCCTCTTTATGATTTTTTTAGTCTTCGACACTTTGCTTATGGGAATTTCTTCTAGTGACTCTGACTTTTTATCTTCTACCTCGGGTATTGATTCATCCTCAGGCTTTTCTTCTAAAGAGGGAACTTCGTCCTCAGATTCTATGGTAGGAACCTCACCTTCGTCCTTAACTTCTTCAACCTCGTCTCCGCCTTTCTTCTTTATTTTGATCTTCCTAATCTTTTTCCGTTTTTCCGTTTCTGGCACCTCATCTTTGGGCAATTCATCCTCGCGGTCTCCCGACGGAATTGGTTTGATAGGGGCGAGTTCAACTGTTTTATCCGGTTTTTCACCTTCATCACTAGCTTCCTTTACGAACGGTTTGAGTTTTACCTTCTCTTCCTCCTCGTCTTCTTTATCCTTCTGGGGAATTCGGCGTTTAATGGTCACTTCTTCTTCGTCCTCTTTTGGTTTTGGTTTGCCTTTTTCCAAAGGTATCTCCACCGTTTCTGGTTCCGGTTTCTTCGGTTTAACCTTTCGAATTTTCTTCACGACCTTTTCCTTGCCTTCTTTATCTTTGGGCTCTATCTCTGGTTTTTCCAGCTCTTCTAACTCGAGATCGTCTCGTTCTATATCATAGGGCTCAAATCGTGGCATTTCTAGTTTCGCCTCAGGAGACGTTTCCTTGACCTCAACTCCCTCGGGTTTCGGTTTTTTAGCTACCACCTTCTCGTCTTCGACAGTTTCGGGTTTTTTCTGCGGTATTGCCTTTAGCTTTACCGTTTCCAGCTGTTCTTCAGTAGTCGGAATCTTTCCTTTGCCTATTTTGAGTTTCTTAACTTCTTCCTCTTCCGTCTCTACGGCTTTTTTCGGTTTCCTTTCGTATTTGAATTGATCGTCAACTTTCTCTAGCTCTTTCTTCTTTAACTCCTCCATTTCCAAATCTAGTTTTTCGAGTTCGGGCATTTTTTCATCCTTGTCTTTGATCTTTGGTATCCTTTTCTTTTTAATTTTCGCGGCTTCCTCGACATTCCTAGATATAACCCCGTTGTCTTTAATCACCGTTATAGTTGTTATCACGGGCATTCTTTGAGATTCTGTTTCGGGCGGGAATTTCACAAACTGAATGCGACTCTTCAGCAAAAACTTGGGCAATTTGACAGTATCGATTTCCGTCTTTTTGACCGTTTTCGGTTTTTTCAGTTTGACTTCTTCGACTTTCGCCGGTAGTTCCGCCACGCTCACCACCTCCACTTTCTGCGGTTTCACTTCCCACCTCTCTATTTGCATTTTGATTGGCTTCGCCTCTTTCTTCGGTTTCTTCTCGTATTTAAACTTCTCGTCAACTTTCTCCAAATCTTTTTTCAAATCTTCCATTTCCTGGTCAAGCTTCTCCAGATGCTTGACTTTTAGTTTGAGTTTTTTAATCTTCTTCACCACCTCTTCCGCTTCTTCGATATTTCTGGAGAGTACTCCACTATCGCGAATCGCCGGCGCTAACTCCTTAATTATTGGGATGAGTAGCTGGGGTGGGTAGTCGATGTGGGTGATTCGGCTCTTGAGTAGGAATTTGGGGAGCTTCACGCTTTTGATCTCTTTCTTCTTTGGCACCGTTGGTTTCTTCAACTTAATTTCTTCCCACTTTATTGGTTCGTCTTTTTGTACAATTATGACAAGTTTTTGTGGTTTAACTTCTACCGTTTCTAGTGTCATGAGTATGGGCTTGGGCTTACCTTTAGTCGTTTCTTCTTCGACGCCTTCTTTTTTCACTTTCTTCTTTTTAACAACTTTAATAACCTTCTTGGTTTGCTTTTCGTCAGTTGGGATCTCTTCAGGTTCTGGAGCTAATTCGTGTTGCTCAGTTGGTACTTCTTCTTCTTTCTCAAGTGACGGAACCGGCTCTTCCTCTGATTTCTCAGTGGGAAGGACTTCTGTCACTTCTTCAATTGTCAGTACCTCATCTTCGCCTTCTTCTTGAAGTACCACATCCTCGCCTTCCTTAGCTGTTACTTCATCGTCACCCTTTCCCTTCTTTTTAACTTTTTTGATCTTTTTGATTTTGGTAACCTTTGTGGGCTGACGGTCTTCGGTTGATTCTTCCGGTTCGGTTGTCGGTATAGGTTTGGGCATCACTAGGGATACATCAGGGGCGGCCTGTTCATCTTCACCCTCATCTTCTTTGACAAATGGTTTCAGTTTGACTTTCTCTATCTCTTCTTCGGGGGCATCTCTTTTGGGAATTCTGAATTTAACCTCATCTTCTTCTTCCTCGTCCTTGGGCTTGGGTACTCCCTTAATCAATTTGGATTCTTCGGTTTCAGGTTTAGGCTTCTTTTTCTTTTCCTTGAGTTTTGGTACTTTTTCCTCTTTTGGTTTTGGTTTTTCCTCCTCCTCCAGCTCTGGCTTTTCTAATTCGAGAGTATCGCGATCTGGCCGTTCAATATCATAGGGCTCGAATGGAGAGAGTTCAGGAGACTCACCCTCGGTTACTTCCGGCTTCTTTTTATCTGGCACCTTGTCTTTCTTAGGCACTTTATCAGTGGCCTCAACAGTTTCTTGCGGTTTCTGAGGAATCTTCTTTAATTTGACAACCTCAGGCTCTTCCTCTCCTTCCGGCACTTTACCTTTTCCAATCACAAGTTTCTTGGCCTCCTCGGGTGCAACATCCTTTACTTCCTTTGGCTTCCTTTGGTATTTGAACAACTCATCCACCTTCTCCAATTCGGGTTTCTCCGAATCATCTTCAAGACTGTCGACCTTCTCCAATTCATCGGTGCCCTTCTTGCCCGCCTTTAGGCGCCTCTTTTTGGTTTTCAGAACTTCATCTGCTTCTTTCAGGTTTCGAGATAGCACGCCAGCGTCTTTGATAACCGGCTTCAATTCCGAAACAACTCCTCGCTTTTCGATTTCGGAATTTGGCGGGAAATTGATAAAGTTGATGCGACTCTTTAACATGAACTTCGGGAGCTTCACACGTTTGGCGTCTTTCTTTTCTGGAACTTTCGGTTTGCGTAGCTTTATGTCGGCAAGATTAATGGGTTTGTTTTCCTGTTGCGTTATCACCAATTTTTGCGGTTTCATTGTCTTCATTTCAACGTCCATTAGGGCAACCTTCTGGGGAAGCGGTTTTGTCTTCTTCTCGGGTTTTGGAACAACTGGCTTTTCTTCTTCGGTTATTTCTTCTTTCTCTTCCGCGGTTGGTTTCTTCACTTTTCTTATGCGTTTCACTTTCTTCTTTCGATCTGGCGTAGTCGCTTCTTCATCGTCTACACTTACCGTAATTGTTTCTTCGTCGCTAGGAAGTTCTGTAATCACTGGTTGTTCTTCAGCTGTAAATTTTCACAGAAATTATATTAGGTTAAGGATTATTGTTTGTCAACGACGGTGTGGTTCAATTATGTAAATGGGTTGTGAGACTGGTAATGTGTAATAGTTTTTGTTTGCAATGTTGTTGTGCTGGAGGGTGTAATGAGAAACATATTTTTACCTTACGTGCTTCAATGATACGACTGCAAACAAACCTACTTGACCTTTTTTCCTTACCAGTTTCATTATCCACTATTCTTTTGCATTTAAAATAACGCTTACCTTCGCTCTCTTTTTGTGTTTTCTCTTTCTTGGGCGTTCTTGGTACTTTCTTTCGTTTGATAGGAATAACACTTTCTTTTATTAACGTTTGTATTGGTTTAGTGTCGTCTAACGTGGTTACAATTTCTATTATCGTCTTTGCTCCGTCTTTTGCTCGTACGATTGTTCGTTTTTTGGTAGCAGTAGCGTAGGGAACTTTGTTTGGTCCAAACATCTCAGTTGTTTCTGTGATTTCTGGCAATTCCATTTCTGTCGCACTTTCAATCATCTTCTTCACTTCATCGGTCATTTCTTCTTCTTTTTCAACAACCACACTGATTGGAGCCTTTTCTTCTTCTTCAATCGTAGTAATTTCGGTTACGTGTTGCTTCCCCTTTTTATCTTTTATAATTCGACGCACTCGCTTTTTAGCTTTCTTTGGTAGTCCTTCATCTGAGATGATATCGATGACTTCTTCTTCTTCCGCTTGGAAAACAACCGGTTGGGCGGTCTCATCTACATCCTTAACCTTAGTATCTTCAGTAACTTCGGGAACTTCGGGCAACTTAGCAATCTTTTGCAAGATCACCAGCTTAACGGCGTCCAAAACACCTTGCTCGTCTTTAATGCTTTCCAAAGATGGAATGATCAGTTCCTTGGGAGCCTCTTCAGGTTCTTTTGGAACTTTCTTGCGCTTCTTCTTTGGTTTCTCTGGCAACTCGATTTCTTCAATAATAACAGACGTTTCTGGCGCCTTTCCTTCATCCTCCACGGTCACAATCTGCGTAGTTTCAACCTTATCATCGTCTCTCTTTATAATCTTCCGCACCTTCTTGACCCGCTTCTTGGGTTTACCGTCTTCCGCTACAACCTCGCTAACTTCAACAACTTCAGGTACTTCTTCGACGGTAACGGCATCCTCAACGCTTTTCGGTAGAACAACTTCTTGCACTGTAACGGTCGTTTTGGGCTGCTCCTTCTCGTCTTGAATAGTAACAATCTCAGTAGTCTGCAAGACACCGTCTTCTTCTTTGACAATCTTCCTAGTCTTTTTCACCCTTTTCTTCGGCTTGCCTTCATCGGAAATTATTTCGGTCACCTCGATTACTTCGGGTAGCTCTTCAACTACCGCATCCTTCGGTTTCCTCCTGCGCTTCTTCTCGGTTACTTTGGTCTCCTCAACTACTACCGTTGTTTCAGGCATCTTGCCCTCGTCTTCCACTGTGACGATCTCGGTGGTTTGCATCTTATCATCGTCTTGCTTAATAATCTTTCGCACCTTCTTAACCCTCTTCTTCGGTTTACCATCTTCCGCAATGATTTCCGTCACTTCGACGACCTCTGGCATCTCCTCAACGACAACGGCGTCTTCGACGGTTTCTGGAAGAACGACTTCTTGCACAGTGACAGTGGTTTTGGGAGTTTCTTTTTCATCTTGAATCGTAACGATTTCTGTAGTTTGTACAACCCCATCTTCCTCCTTGACAATTTTGCGCGTCTTCTTTACCCTTTTCTTGGGTCGGCCTTCATCGGAAATGACCTCGGTGACTTCAGTCGTTTCGGGTAATTCCTGAACGACGGCCTCTTTCGGTTTTTTCTTGCGGATCTTTTTGGTTTCAGTCTCTTCGACGATCACCGACGTTTCAGGTGCTTTCCCTTCATCCTCTACCGTTATAATTTCAGTCACCTGCACTTTGTCATCGTCTTTTTTAATTATTTTGCGCACCCTTTTAACCCGTTTCTTTGGTTTACCATCTTCAGCAACCACCTCCGCGATCTCCACTACTTCTGGCACTTCTTCAACGGTGATGGTGTCTTCCACACCTTTTGGAAGAACAGCCTCTTGTACTGTGACAGTGGTTTGAGGCACCTCTTTGTCATCTTGAATAGTTACTATCTCTGTTGTTTGCAGAATGCCGTCCTCTTCCTTGATAATTTTTCTGGTTTTCTTCACTCGTTTCTTAGGTTTACCTTCGTCAGTAATTACTTCTGTCACCTCAGTTACTTCGGGCAGTTCTTCGACGACTGCTTCCGAGAGCTTCTTCCTGCGAATCTTTTTGGGTTCTTCGCTGGCTTTGATTTCTTCGACGGTCACTGTTGTTTCGGGCGCTTTGCCTTCATCTTCAACCGTCAGAATTTCTGTGGTTTGTACCTTGTCATCGTCTCGTTTGATAATTTTGCGCACTTTCTTGACCCGCTTCTTGGGTTTTCCGTCCTCAGCTATCACCTCCATAACCTCTACCACTTCCGGCACTTCCTCAACGATAACGGCATCTTCAACGGTCTTTGGACGAACATCTTCTTGAACTGTGACAGTGGTTTTAGGTTCTTCTTTCTCATCTTGGATTGTTACTATTTCTGTTGTCTGCAATATGCCATCTTCTTCTTTGACAATCTTCCTAACCTTCTTCGTTCGCTTTTTAGGTTTACCTTCTTCATTGATTACCTCTGTAACCTCGGTCACTTCGGGTAATTCTTCAACAACCGCAACCTTGGGTTTCTTCTTGCGAATCTTTTTGACTTCTTCGATTTCCTCCACGGTCACCGTAACTTCCGGTGCCTTGCCTTCATCTTCAACAGTCAGAATTTCAGTTGTTTGCACCTTGTCATCATCCTTTTTGATTATCTTACGCACCTTTTTAACTCGCTTCTTTGGTTTGCCGTCTTCTGCAACAACTTCAGTAACTTCCACCACTTCTGGTACTTCCTCAACGGTGATGGTGTGTTCAACAGCTTTTGGAAGAACAGCCTCTTGTACTGTGACAGTGGTTTGAGGCACCTCTTTGTCATCCTGAATAGTTACTATCTCTGTTGTTTGCAGAATGCCGTCTTCTTCTTTGATAATTTTTCTAGTTTTCTTCACTCGTTTCTTAGGTTTACCTTCGTCAGTGATTACTTCTGTCACCTCAGTTACTTCGGGCAGTTCTTCGACGACGGCTTCCGTGAGCTTCCTCCTGCGAATCTTTTTGGGTTCTTCGCTGGCTTTGATTTCTTCGACGGTCACTGTTGTTTCGGGCGCTTTGCCTTCATCTTCAACAGTCAGAATTTCTGTGGTTTGTACTTTGTCATCGTCTCTTTTGATGATTTTGCGCACTTTCTTGACCCGCTTCTTTGGTTTTCCGTCCTCAGCTACCACCTCTATAACCTCTACCACTTCCGGCACTTCCTCAACGGTAACGGCATCTTCAACGGTCTTTGGTAAAACATCTTCTTGAACTGTGACAGTAGTTTTAGGTTCTTCCTTCTCATCTTGGATTGTTACGATTTCTGTTGTCTGCAAAATTCCATCTTCTTCTCTGACAATCTTCCTAACCTTCTTCGTTCGCTTTTTCGGTTTACCTTCTTCACTGATTACTTCTGTAACCTCGGTCACTTCGGGTAATTCTTCAACAACTGCAACCTTCGGTTTCTTCTTGCGAATCTTTTTGACTTCTTCGATTTCCTCCACGGTAACCGTAACTTCAGGTGCCTTGCCTTCATCTTCAACGGTCAGAATCTCCGTGGTTTGCACCTTGTCATCATCCTTTTTGATTATCTTACGCACCTTTTTAACTCGCTTCTTTGGTTTGCCGTCTTCTGCAACAACTTCGGTAACCTCGATTTCTTCAGGCAGTTCCTCGATGGTGACGGCATCTTCCACTGTTTTCGGAAGTATATCCTCTTGTACCGTGACAGTGGTTTTTGGTTGTTCTTTATCGTCCTGAATTGTCACTATTTCAGTAGTCTGTAAAATGCCGTCTTCTTCTTTGATGATCTTCCTAGTCTTTTTTACCCGTTTCTTAGGTTTACCTTCATCAGTAATTATCTGTGTTACCTCGGTAATCTCGGGTAGTTCTTCAACGATTGCTTGTTTAACTTTCTTCTTACGAATCTTTTTAGGTGCTTCAGCCGCACTTGTTTCTTCTATGATGACTGTCGTTTCAGGCGCCTTGCCTTCATCTTCGACGGTTACAATTTCAGTGGTTTGCACCACGTCATCGTCCGTTTTGATTATTTTGCGCACCTTTTTAACTCTCTTCTTTGGCTTGCCATCTTCAGCAACAACTTGCATAACCTCTACAACTTCAGGCAATTCCTCAACAGTGACAGCATCTTCAATTGTTTGTGGAAGGATAGCTTCTTGTACCGTGACTGTAGTTTTAGGTTCCTCCTTTTCGTCCTGAACTGTTACTATTTCAGTCGTTTGCAAAACACCGTCTTCTTCTTTGATAATCTTTCTGGTCTTCGTCATTCTCTTTTTCGGTTTACCCTCCTCAGTAATTATTTCGGTCACTTCGGTAAGCTCGGGTAATTCTTCAACTACTGGTGCTTTGGGTTTCTTCCTCCGCACCTTTTTCGTGACCTCAGTTTCTTCTATTGTGACAGTCGTTTCTGGTGCTTTACCTTCATCTTCAACTATTAAAATCTCAGTCGTTTGAACTTTGTCATCGTCTTTTTTGATAATTTTGCGCACTTTCTTTACTCTCTTCTTTGGTTTACCGTCTTCCGCCACAACCTCGGTAACCTCTACCACTTCGGGCATTTCTTCTACAGTAACGGCGTTATCGACAGTCTTCGGAAGGATTGCTTCGTGCACTGTGACAGTGGTTTTAGGTTCTTCCTTTTCGTCTTGAATTGTGACGATTTCGGTTGTTTGCACAACACCATCTTCTTCTTTGAGGATCTTCCTAGTCTTCTTCACTCTCTTTTTAGGTTTACCCTCTTCGGCTATTACTTCGGTCACCTCAGTCACCTCGGGTAGTTCTTCAACGATTGCCTCTTT